AAAGAGTTTGGTGTTGACCGTATAACTCTCGCAAGAAGACACCAAGGGATTCAAGGCACAAAAGCGGACTAATATGAAAGCCAGTAACTGCTCTCCAACAAGCAGGCCAAAGAGCTTATAAAATATATTAATAAACTGTTAAAACGTGGCCTTTATCTTACGCATAAGATGCTTCGCAATTTTACCCAGGAGATCTGTGGAACAAGGCCAGGATACCAGTGGCCTAGCTGCTTTATTCGCGCTTATGAGAAAGAGCTTACCTGTCGCTATACAACCGGTATCGACCGCGACCGCAAGGCAGCAGATTCGGCATGGAAATACACGCTGTACTTCCAAAAATTGGCCAGAATGATAGAGGAGTACAAGATCCAACCAGAAAATATGTATAATATGGATGAGAAAGGATTTCTTATTCGAATCGTTTCTAAAAGCAAGAGAATCTTTTCAAAGCCAAAATATAAAAGAGATCGCTCCGTACAACGTATCCAGGATGGGAACAGGGACTGGATTACCGTGATCGCCTGTATTTGCGCTGATTAGACCTCCCTGCCTCCAGGTCTAATATATCAAGCCGTTTCGGGAGATTTACAGGACTCATGGCTTCAAGATTATGATCCTCGCAAGCAGGATTGTTTTTTACCTCTTCACCAACTGGTTGGACTAACAACGACGTGGGTTTTGCATGGCTTCGAGATATTTTTAATCCTAAAACCAAGGCCAAAGCAGGGAGATCTTGGAGGCTTCTCCTGCTTAATGGCCACGGATCTCATGTCACAAGGTTTCTTGATTTTTGTAAAGCTAATAAAACCCTTGTAGTAATATATCCTCCTTATTCAATGCATTCTCTACAGTCGCTTGACATTAGTATCTTTGGACCGTTGGCCAAGGCATATAGCAACAAACTGGACGAGTATTTGTTTGCCGCGCAGGGCCTGACCTCTATTACAAAGAGGGATTTCTTCCGCTTTTTGGAATGCCTGGGGACCACTTTATCTAAGCAAAATATCGAATCGGCATGGAGGAGCGTTGGTATATAGCCATGGGATCTAGCACAGGTTTTAAAAAGCGCTTTACATGCGAGGTTAGCTCTAGGCCTTTATCTAGTGGCTCTACACACTCTGTACTGGCGCCTAGAGATTGGCAACGGATAGAGAGGCTTTTTAAAACTGTAGTTGCTGATATTTATAACAGGAGAACCAGAATTATTCTTGGATACCTTCAGCAGCTCACCACAGAGAACTCCTTGCTTAAAATCCATGCCCAGGGCCTTGAAGATACCTTGGTAAATGAGAAAAAGAAGCGTCAGCGTGGAAAAGGCATGCAATTAAACGACTTATTCTCTTTAGAGGATGGTGGTGCTATATTCTACTCTCCAACAAAAATCCAGAGGTCTCGAGACCTCCAGGCAGAGAAGGAGGCAGCTGAGGCAGCTAATAAAGCTTTAAAAGAGCAGGCAAAACTTCTTCGACAACAGGCCAAAAAAAAGAAACAGCGCCAGAAGGAAGAGAACAAGAGAATAAAGATATTCGAGAGGCAATAGCGCCTGGAGAAGGAGGAGCGGGAAAAGCGTGAGAAAAAAAAAAGGCTTGCCTGGCTAAGAAGGCGGAGCAGCGGCTTCAAAATGATATTAAAAAGGTTAAGAAGGGTCGGAAGAAGCGAAATACCGCTTTAAATCCTTAAATCCAGGAAGATACTAGTGGTGAGGCTGCTAAAGTCGTTGGAGGCCTCTACAGTAACAAGCCGTAGTAGGAGGTTGGTACGCCTCCCACACCGCTTCCGGGATGCTTAAATTTTGTATGTAGCTTTACCAGGACCTCACCTTTAATACACCAAAAAAACTAAGTATGATTTTATTTGTACGTGGTGTTGTAGCTTCATTTCTGTGGTAGATTTCGATCGAAAACTGGATCGTCAGGCGGTGTAGATCGTCGGGCGGTAAAGTACGTTACCGGTAACGTTGCCGCCTATCTGCCGCCCGTTCCCGCCTGCCGCCCGATTTCAACGTTCTGCACCACCAACAAAAATGAAGCTTTTGAGCCACATAGAATTAGTATATTAAATAGATATCTTGGTGTAGTGTTCTTGAGGTCCTAATGTTGCTATATACAAATTTTAAGCATCACGAAAGCGTTGTGGGAGGCGGATCTGCCGGCCTCGACGGTTTGTAGGCGTAGGGGTCTGTACAACTTCATCAAGCGGCGTAGGAGCGATATCTGTAGTATTTTGAACTGCAGAACGCTTAGGTGCCTTAGGCTTGCTTTTTTTAATAGATTTGAAGTTATTTTGAAGCTGTATAGAGGCCTCCTTAGCGATCCGCGCTTCCTCTTTCTCCCGCTGCTTCGCCTCTATCTCTTGCTGCTTTTTTGACCGCTGAATTTCTCGATTTCGCTTCCTTTCTTGAACTAAGCGCTGTTTCTCCTCCTTTTCCTGCTGACGGCGAAGCTTGTCTTGCTCTTTTGAAGCTTTAGCAAGCTCTATCTCACGATCCTTGGCTGCCTGAAGTTCCAGCGCTTGCTGAACTTTATTAGGCGAGTAAAATACTGCATATCCATCTTCAGGAGCGCGAAGCTCAGAGAGTAAAGGCTTTCCTCGCTGCCGCTTCTTTGTTTTATTGACCAAGGCGTTCTCGAGGCCGCTGCATTTATTCTTAAGCAAGATATTCTCTGTACAGAGGTTGTGCATTGTAGCAATAAGCTTCTGGGTGTTTTATCAAGTACATTAGCAACAGCTTGCTCTAGCTTCGTTTCAATGCGTTGCCAGTCATTCGCAGCTAAGATAAAGCGGGTTGAAGAGCTGGTGGATGGCCTTACTTCCTCTTTCTTGTAAAATCGCTTTAAAACAATCTCCGGGTTCCATGGTTCTAAGCCGCAAGATTTCCATGCAGATTCAATATTTTTTGGTGACAAAGCTCTTTCCCAACTGGGAAAGAACAGGCGGAAGAAATCCCGCTTGCTTAGGCTGCAGAAGCCTTGAGATTCATATAAAAATGCCTCCAGATTGTCACTGTACGCCCGGGCAAGCGGTGCAAAGATACTAACATCAAAAGGCTGCAGAGTATGCGTAGAATGAGGTGGATAGGTTATTACAAAGATCTTGTTGTCTATACAGTAATTAAGAAAGCGTGTATTGATATGAGAACGATGGCCATCAAGTACTAAAAGCCTCCAGCGCCGCCGTGCTTTACTTTTAGTCTCTCTATTAAAGATATTTGTAAGCCATGCGTATCCTAGATCGTCATTTGTCCAACCAGATGGTGATGATGCAAAAAGCAGTGGTGTTTCTCTGGATCGAAGTCTTGCACCCAGGAATATTGAATATTGCCCGAAGCAGCTTGATATATCAATCCGGGGTTAGTGAGGTCTTGTCAGCGCAAATACAGGCTATACAAGTACTCCACTCCCTAGAGCCATCTTGTAGGCGTCTCTTGGAGCCATCTAGCTCAAATTGGCGGCGTGAAAAGATTCTTTTGCCTTTCTACAAGATTCCGATAAGAAAGCCTTTTTCATCCATATTGTACATATTCTCCGGCTGAATTTCATACTGTGCAATCTTTTGAGCTAGCATCTTGAAGTATTTGTTATACTTAGCTGTAGAATCGGCGCGGAGGCGTGCCTTGTCCATACTTGATGTTATATTGCTGTCAATATCATTTTATTCGCTTTAAAAATCGCTCCGGCCAGTGGTTTCCCGGCTTCTTTCCTGTAATATCCTTTGCGAAATTCCGCAGCATTTCATGTGAGATATAAAGACCTCGATCTGTCAATTCATTGATGTATTTGATAAGAGTTTTGGCCTGCTGGTTGTTGAGTAGTTGCTGTCCTCTATTGCTGCTTCCTTGACTGCTGTTTTCCTTGATGACGTCTTCGCAGTGTATGTCGGTCAACATCAAACTCTTTCGCAACTTTAGTATAATTGATCGATTCGCCAATTTCCAGCGAATTGATTGCTTCTATCGCTGCTTTAATTGGATCCATATTCGTTGAGATATGAGGTGTTGAAAACATAAAGTCTAAAAGTCGGTGAGTAACAGCAATCGGGCGGCAGGCGGGAACGGGCGGCAGATGGGCGGCAACGTTACGTGTCCGACTCGTTTACCGATTAACTTAGTTACGTTAGTTAAAGTAATCGGCCACCGAGCTGGGCGGTCCCCCACATACAGCTACAGAATGGAGGCAAGAAGAAGCCTCCACGGTGGCTGACCGTTGGGAAGGGATTTTCCCATGGGAAATCGGGGTGGGATTCCCTTTCCGTAAAATCGGGACAATGTTTTTGAAAAATTCGGGAAAGGGAATATCCCATCTCGAATCTCTTCTAATGGGAATCCCTTCCCGAAAGTCTTGGCAAGGGATAGAAGTTTCCCATGACTGTTACTTTATTTCTAATATACATTAAATGATTTGTTTATCTCCATAAATCTGAGTTATCATAAACCTCATAATGTAGCCTCTTAACTAGTCTAACACATATTGATCATCACCCTCCTCACTATTATCCTACTCGTCATCGTCCTCATCATTATCCTCGTCATAATTATCCTGTTCATCACTATGCTGTTCATCATCATCCTGCTCATCATCATCCTGAATGCCAGATTTAGTTGCCGAATCAGAGCCTGACTCTGACTCTGATCCATCAACATTCATTTCTCCGTCGAACTCTGGATACTCGTCCGAATCAATCTCAGAATCCTCAACCATAATATGATCGGGTCCTAACGGGATACAGTAACAGTATCCCCCTGATCAGAATCACGTTGGTCAGAATCCTCCTGAGTTGCATTCTGGGGAGCAGGAGCTTGGCGATAATTGTCCTCCTCAAGTTGAAAAACTCCCGATGTAGTTAATGGGCGTGGGCGGGTACGTTCTTCGTGGCCACCAGTAGCAACATCTTGAAGGAAAGCGCAGTGTCATGTAGCTTGTTTCTAATGGTTTTAATCGCGTCTCTCTTCTTCTCGGTAAGTTTCTTCGGGATCCTGGAAGGGCCCTGAGGCTCCAAGCCAATCATTTGTGAAATTCCTGGAAAATCTCAAGAACAAGGCGCATATCCTCAACCATAAGAGTCGCACGTTTTCCATGACATGTAAGTGTAGTCGAGCCTGTTGGTTATTAGCTCTCTATTACTGTTACTAGAAGCTGTTACTTACAGGCAAATAAGTGCGTCAGGCTCATTTCTGCAACCTCCTTCAGAGTATCAACTGCCTGGTGGGTCATGCGAAACTCAGGCTTAAATCTTCTTAACAGCTTGACGGACAAGGCGTGTAAATGCGGTTTTAGGAATAAATAGCCCAGGATTAGTTGAGTAGTAATAAATCTCACGCTCGGATTCTAAAAAGGTTATTATTAAAAATTATTGCTCAATAGGTTTGTGAATACTTACTTGGAAGAATGTCAAGATCAGGGGCAGGAGCTGGTTCAATTGAGGCATCGTTTTGCATAGTGCGACCATTTTTTAAGAGCCCATGCAGCGGCACGAGCATTCCACGCCTTGTCAACAAACGCTGTATTTAGATTATCCTTATTTCTTTCAAAGACTAAAGAACTGTTACTTTATTCTGTTACCAAAGATGGGTAAGATTTACTTGCCTTGAACATGAGAGGTACGCTTGGGCTTCTCTGAGGTAGCTATTCTGGCCTTTTGCTGAGATGTTTCAGCAGCTTGACCAGGCAATCTCTTCCCGCCAGCATGTTTTCTTCCCTTCGGTGTCATTATACTGACAGTGTTCGCTTGTAGCAGGCTGAAGGAACAAGGAAATACCGAATGAATGTGAAAAGATTTAAGAAAGGGGGGAAATACAGTAAGTCAAGATGGGGGAAGTAAAGAAGAAAAAGAGAATAGAAGAAAGAAAAAGTATAAGAATTAGTAAATTAGTGAATAATATTTATTAACTATTCAAAAACAATCAATCATTTTATATAAGTGCTTATCTTTTTTTTTATCTTTTCCCTTCTCCACTTACCTTTAATTCGTATTTTGTCTTCTCTACTCCTCCTAGTGGTTACTGTACAGTACTCTGCTTTACAGTATTTTCTTGCTTGTATTTCTAACCCCTTCTCTTAATACTTGTTACCAGCAATCCTTTATGCAATGCCACGCAAGATATCTACCATCGAACGAGTAGTCAAGGCAAGGGAACGTCATCAGGCAAAGACTGGCCCTGAAAAGGAGTTGCAGAGGAGACATGATGCAGACCGCAAGGCTAAATTTGACTGTCTTAAAAAGCTCACATGGAATCTCGTATATGAGTAACAACTTTTAGTAACAGCTTGATAATCTAATAACGGTATAGGAAAGCTGCGCCTGACTCACTGAAACAACAACTTGAGGATACTGTAATGCGATCACACAGTTAACAGCAAGAGAGATTTAATACTAAGAAGTCAAAAGAGTGGTATGAAAAGCAGCTTGAACTTGGAGGCTCAGAAAGAAGCAGTGACAGCTACAAAGGAGCATAAAGCAGCAATTAAAATTTCAGCGGACATCTCGAATAAGCCAACCAGTATATCCGCACCAAAGGTAACAAACCTTGGTACTGTAACAGATTAAGATATAATACTCACTATTAATTAGGATACTATTCTCTCCACCTGGAGACATTATCAATCCCGCCTGATTAATTCTCTTGAACAACAGATTTTGCAACACGGCTACAATGAACTGAAGTCAATTGGTTCTTCTGAGAAGGTCTTGAACCAGGAACTTCAAAATTTTTATAACCAGAAATCTCCAATTGAGCCAATTTGGGAGGGTGATGATAAAGATATGATAGTTAGTGCCGTTAACTACAGCCACGCGTTTAACATCTTAATCTGTAAGGGTGGGCTCCTTGCCATTCGAAGTCTCAGAACCCTGGAGAACTGGGGTAAAATATTAAGCATAGGGGTCAGTAATAAGCCGATAAAACCGCTAAGATGCAGTATAGTGTGGTATATAAAAATGGAAATGGAAACGTAGGATTGCCTATATTACAGTATAGAGCTAATCGCTGGCCTCTAGGAATGCGTGAAGGTGGTAATATGCGCTCACACCTAACTACTTAGCGCTAAGTGCCTGACTAATCTAATTTGCAATAACTTAGTTATTTTAATTGTTGACAGTCTGCCATGCGGTATATATATACAAATAGCTATCATGATGAGAACTTGGATCATATTTAGTTAAGCAACGTTTAGACAACAAGGCCATATATTTTTATAAACGCAAAGATGGCACGTTCCCAATCCAACATTGAATATTCTAGAAGACCCCTGCTCTTATTAGTGCTAATCAAAGACAGAAGTGATGTTGTATCGCAACAGCCCCACATTAATTGACAGTGATTACAAACCGCCTCCTTCGTTGGTAAGATCAACATGGGTCTACGTCACAATGTCATGAATCAGGGCAGTGACACGTCATAGGTGCAGAGCTACTATCGCTAGATATCGAATCGACTGTACTTGCAATTGGGGCAGGAAGGTTCGTAGGGGAAGCATCTTTGGTTTTGTCGCGGCTTCCATCAGTTGTAGATGTAATTGACGCGGCTGGAGGTGCTAATGGTATACTAGAGCCTATAGAGAGTTTACTGCTCATGGGCAATGGCCTCGATCCCTCGTCTATCGATCTAGAAGATGCTGAAGCCATGTTGCTCTGCCTGGCACTGGTAATGCGGGCCGAAGTCCATGTTGAAGCAGCAACAGCAGTCGAAAATCCCGAAGCGTCTGATTGATTCCTGTAGTTATTCTTGCTGCAGACTGAAGCAATTTGGTTCTCAGTCACACGCGGCCTGACCCTCCGCTGGGACAGAGCAGGGGGGACGACAAGAACGCTGTAACACGTCACATTGCTACTGGTAAAGGTAAGTTTACCCGAACCGGAGGGAACGTATGGGCTGAGGGAGACCTGCTGAATCAAGTCCTCTCCCGCAGAGCAGTTGGCCAAGTGGAAGGGTGGGAAGTTAATAATTCGCGGCAAGTCATCGAACGTAAGGGTGGCATAGGATAGGTTCGTATCCAATGGGACCCCCCCTATCTGTGTCATCTGGCCTGGAGTGAAGATCAGTTCAAGGCCAGCAGCGGCACAATTCGTACTATCAGCTCCAGAATAGCCAATAAGACCGGTAAGGATAATGGCAAATGAAATTGGTTTCATCATGCAGACTCAAAGTGAGGAAGCCTTGAGCAAATCTAGTGAGGGACGAAAATTACAGCTAAATAGTATTCTGATCGCTTCCTGTGCAGCTAAAAACAGACAGCGATTACAGTTGTTGCAATATTAGCTTATCGCGTACATCCTCTTGCGTTCATTTTAAAGATGTAACGCCAGATAAGCGAAAGAAACCTAGATTAGTCGATTAAATGAACAGCATGCCTATGCTTATTTAGCAGTGATCCTCCAGAAGGTCTATATTTAAGCCAGTTAGCTATTATTTAGCAATAAAAGAGTATTTTCCCTCTAAAGCGGCTACATTTGAATGTATTCTTTGCCACTATCTGCATAAGACTCTAGTTCCACGCATTGTATCTTATTGAGAGGGATATATGTATATGGCGGAGATAATAAAGATAAATCATGGAGTAGCAAGCAGAACAGAGGTCTGATACTGTAATACCACTTCAAACATTCCGTCGTAGCCCCACCGTATACCATCTGCTATGGGAAGACTGTCCATGGACTCCCCTAGTTGCATAATGGAAATGTCATTTTATGTACTTTATTTTCTACAGTCTATAGCACTATCGTAAGCGCACACAGGGGTGATGCGTTCTAGGCATAAACAATGCATGCTCATCCAGCGCTACTTATTGGAATCTGTATGCCAACGCTCCTTTCTAACAGTCAGCAGTTTCCATGATCCTGAAGTACCACCGCCATGTAGTAGTTCATATATAGTTCGCATAGATACTAGCACCAATCTCACTCTATCCCTCCCAGACAGCCCTTCACAGACGATACACTTTGGCTGTTGGCGGTTTCAAGAGTATCTGCACCCTATCGGTGATAAATTGGCTTCAAAGCACAAAGACGTAAGTCTTATTCAATGGGAAAAAACATTATCTTTCCAGAAAGCGCGTGGCTCCTCGCACAAGCAAGTCTGATATCTGCGCGCGGCCTTTGGCATCCACCTAGTTTCGCCCTGTCCACCACAGATCTCAAATTCGCTGAATTTGGAAATTTCACCATGGGGACTTGGCGAGATGGCGCATTTAGCGGACTAACTGGATTCCTTTCACCCGTTGACTTGGAAGAGAAACTACCCGTTGAATACAAAGACTGGGAGAAAACTATTGCCAATCTACCAGCGCTATTGCGAGGGGGCATAGCTCACAGAGTGATTGCATCACTTTGGGTTGACCTGGAAACACTGGCTAATCTTCCGGACCAGTTTCTGCAGCGGTCAGCCATTATTGTCAGTTCACTCCTTCACGCATTTGCATTTGACCTGCAAAACCTGGGATACAGCCGGCGTGACGTGTGTCTTCCGTCCAATCTAGCCCAAGCTTGGGGCGCTATATGCTTCCGTTTGAACAGACCCGTGCCAATGCGGACGGTCGCCGATGATATACTTAACAATGTTCGATATCGGGACGGACAAGCCACACTGGCGATTGAGTACTTTGACCTTCCCGAAGAGCGGCTGACCGCAGGTATACAACTGAGGATGGAACAGGCGTTTGTGCCAGCCTTGGAGTTGATGGTAAACGCCCAAAAGCTCCTTCACGCTTATAATGAGTTGGCAATTGCCAATGCCATTTCAGGCGTTTCCGAGTGCGTGGTTCGTTGTGGTGCCCATTTCCTGAGCGTCCCGTTTCAGAACCTGGAAGAGTTCGATCCCGTTATATGGGGAAAGTCATATCCCGAGGCCGGGCGGCCTGTGATGCCAAATGGCCTCACGAACAGTGGGGTGAACGCCCCTCTCTTTCATGCATTGGACGCCTTTATTGGTACGTCTGATGATGGGCTAGGAAACGATCTCTTCCAACAGCAAAAGATCCGCCGCACTAAAATGCTGCCGGCCCCTATCCAGCGGTTCATTGAAGCTCTAGGGGATCCGCGACATAGCGTCCGGTCGTATGTGAACGATCGTGATGTGCCACGAGCCGCAGCGGCTTTCGACGCCTTGATACAGTCATATGCCTGGCTACTCGAAAAGCATCGGATAAGAGCCATTGGAACCGTAAGCACCGCGTCTGCGGCTGGCCGAGTGGAAACTGCCGGTGGCACCCGGCAAGAGACGTCGGGTCTAACCCTCGGCGAACATCTCAGCAGACAAATGAAACAGGCTATAGAAGCCCGTCTGGGCACCAGACCGCGAACACTCGTATCTGCATTGATATCACGGAAACCGACCGGGAGGAGAGCTATGATGGTTACGCTGCGTCTTCCGTGCTTGCTCCCTATTCGGCCGGGAGATCGGATTCAGATCTGGCCTACCGGGGACAGGTTCTCGTGTGGACAGAATCAGTGCTCATCGGATAAAAACATGCTTCAGTCTATTACCTGCAACTCCACCTCCACCCCCTCAACCCTACCTTCTGATATGCCGTCGGTCCATCCCCGCCATTATTCAGTATCCATGGTCGACAAGGGAGAAAGCGAACTCGCACAGCAGATTACTCTCAGTGTAGCAGTCCCCGGGGGGCAGTGTGTCAGGTTTCTGCGCGACAGCCAAATTGGACAAATGATTAAAATGAGAGTAAGCCCAGCGCCTCATTTCTGGGCTCCAGCAGAGTCGGAGGTCCCTCTTCTGCTTCTGGCCCAAGGTGCCGGGGTTGGCCCGTTTCTTGGGTTTTTGAACGGGAGGCAACAGCGAGCGAGCCCGGACGCAGGACGGGTAATTCTTATCCTCAGTGCACGAACAATTGACGACGTTCCGTACCTCCCAGAGCTAAAGGCCCTCTCCAAAACACTTCCGCTAACAGCTTACCTGGCTCTGTCCTGCGGCAAATGCCAATTTCTGGAACGCGGCAATATGACGCAACGTCCAGAGATCATGAAAGCACAAGACCTGATACTTACACTGCGGCAAGAAATTAAGGCATTGCTTAAAGGAAATGGACATGCCTATGTATGCGGCGGTCTGGATTTTGGCTGCTCCATTCGGTCAGTTTTATTCACCCTTTACCCGCTGGACGAGAGTCGATATCATGAAGAATGCCACAGTCGGGCCATGCCCGTCGAACCGAAGCAGCGCTTCACTTTTCTGGACTTGTCTCAGCACAATGAAATCTCTAGTCTCTGGATTGCACTTAACGGAATAGTCTACGATGTTACACAGTTCGGTGACGTACATCCTGGAGGCATCAAGGCCTTGGTTGAAGTCGCTGGAACGGAGGCGGACGACCGATTTGAGCAGGCTCACTCTGGTAGCGGAGCCCAAGGACGGCTGGCACAATACGCCATTGGAACCCTTCAGGGAGGGGATTTGTCTCCCAATCATGGGAAGGTTCTTCGAGAAATCGTCCTCTGCCAGAATGCGCTGACCAACAGCACACTGTTTGCTCCTAGCCGCCAGGTGCCTTTTTTCGTGTTCTCCGCCAGCCTCCTCGTCACGTGGAACCGGCTGAAGGGAATACTTCATACTGTACGGACTGCACCCCAACTTCTCAGGATACCAGAACATATGGACCAAACCCTGAAGCAACTTAGGGCCGAGAGTTGGAGGTATCTAAGTGTGTCCACAAAAGCCACCTTGGCCTTCAGAGAAAAGAAGATTCGCCTCATATATTCCAGCCACTGGAATCAATTCCACTGCCTTTTCCATGGAATGAAAAATTCGTTTCGCCCGGAAGGGGATTATCTCTTCTCCCTCTTAAACAGCAGCGTCCTTAGCATCTATCGATCTGTGAAACGAAGTACCAACGCCTTACGACGGGGCCTCGGTCAAGACATGGGGCCAAATGCGGTCGGGCAGAATATCAAACGCATACAGGGGCTGGAGAATAGCAATCTGCGAGCGAGGGATTTGGAGGGTAGTGCCATCAACTCCTAATCTCTAGCGCCTTTCATTACTGTACTACCGTTCTTGCAGTACAGATTTGAATCTTACCTAGGCAGCCTCTATGTAGATAGTACAAAGGTACAAAGCGATCTGACTCTGTACTGTAGCTGACCCTTCCGTACTTTGGTGTTTATAAAGCAGTACCAAAGCACACTCCCAATAGCATATTCTTGATTCCGAAGACAATCTTGGAGCTGAATCACATATTGTATATCGCAATCTATGTGTATGATTAGGCTTTATTATGTCAAAAATTCTATATTAGGTTTTTTTTTTTTTTTTTTTTTTTTTTTTTTTTTTCAGCTTTTCCTACTCTAGACAATGCATCCAATAGAACGACCTGACCGACTACAAGCAGAATGTATGGGAGCCCGCTATGTATTGCCTACACTGTTGAAAATATCTGTATATGTAAAGCAACCTGCGGGCAAGCGTGCCGAAAGCAGTCTTTTAGGGGTAGGTCAGCATCTTTAAGGTGGGACGAAATATAGTCACAGCTTGCGTGTTTGCCAAACTTTCCCCTGACTAATGTTATTTGCGTTTAGTTGTATTATATCAATACCGGGTTCCAGCTGAGCGTGGTTCGAAATTACCTCGGCGTGGTTCGACATCGGAACCGGAAAAATAGTCATCGTGGTCCAACTCCACCCACCTGTCTAAAAGTCATCTGCATATTTACATCTACCACTCCTACCACCACTACCACCCTACCACTTCCTGGTGGTCGCCATACCAGCCCTAGTGTTTATGTATTCAAGCGCCCTCGAGCGCAGGGGGGTGGGGTCCCCTCGATGTCCCCGAAGGGGATTGAGAAGCGAGTGGAACGAGCGGGGGTACCCCCCAGAGCGACGGGCAAGATGATCTATGCAGTATACATGGTATTGGTTTATAGTGGCCACTGTATTACTAAATGTTGAAAATATTGCACCGGAAAAACCTCATCGTGGTTCGGGAGCGGTGGCAGAACTTTAGCGTATTTTTCGAACCACGCCGAGCTGTAAGCCCTATCAATACGTTTACCCTATTAAGTCGTGTGAATATTCCATCTTGGCGCATACCGTACCCGGTCACGTGACGCCCAGATTCATCCGGCGCCCAATTTGTATCTACACACCGACTTTTTAGATAGATTTTAATAGACCACAGCACCATTAATATGGACTCAATTGAAAAAGCTATTGCAGATATAGAATTGGGGCCAGGGAAAAGGTCAATTACTCGAAATTTGCAAAAACTTACGGTATAAGCCGGTCAACACTGTCAAGACGTCATCGCGGCTTACAGGCCTCTCGAGACGACCAGTATGAAAATCAACGAATTCTTAACAACCAGCAGCCGAAAGAGCTTATTAAATGGATTAATTAACTCACTGAGCGTGGCTTACCACCATCCCGTTCGATGTTACGCAATTTCGCAAAGGAAATTACTGGAATTAAGCCCGGAAACAGCTGGCCGAATCACTTTCTAAAGAGACACCATAATGACCTTATTTACTGCTATACAAGTGCAATAGATTCGTCACGCAAAAAGGCTGATTCTGCCTACAAGTATGCACTCTACTTCGAGCTTTTGCCAGAAAGATTAGGAATATGGGATTGAATCAAGGGATTTTACAAATGATGAGAAAGGTTTTCTTATTGGGTACTGTAAAGTTAAAAGAATCTTTCACGACACTTGTATGAGCAGGGAGGGGTAACAAGACTTCAAGATGGGAATAGAGAATGGATTACTACAATTGGTTGTATTTGCGCTGATGGGACTGCCCTTCCACCAGTCTGATTTACCAGGCAGCCTCTGAAGATATTCAAGATACATGGCTTCAGGATTTTAATCCTAGTGAGCATTATTGCTTTTTTCATCATCAGCTAGTGGCTGGACAAATGATAAGCTGGGATATGCGTGGCTTACCTCTATCTTTGACCGTGAGACAAAAGAGAAAGCACGGAGGCGTTGGCGGCTTTTAATTCTTGATGGCCACGGATCCCACATCACAATGCAGTTTATTAATTACTGCAGGAGAATAAAATCTTTAAGTGTTTTTCCGCCTCATTCAACGCATACTCTGCAGCCCCTTGATGTCAGTCTCTTTGGTCCTTTATCTCAGGCGTATAGTGAGAGATTGGAGCAATTTATATATGATTCTCAAGGAATCAGCCATATTACAAAGCGAGATTTCTTCAGATTGTTTTGGCCAAGCTGCAATGCAGCTTTTTCAACCAAAAACATTAACAGTGGATGGAAATCTGTTGGTGTGCATCCTTGGGACCCAGAGATTGTTTTAGCACGCTTCACCCAAAAAGACATGGAAATACCCTCTTCTAGCGGGCCCTCAAAGTCTACCTTGAAAGCAGAGGACTGGCGTCGCATTGAAAAGCTTCTTAAGCAAGTTGTTTTGGATGTTTACGACTAAAGGGTCCAGAAATTAAATAATGCGATGATGCATCTTTCTACCGAGAATATTCCTCTTAAACTACGCTGTAAGGGCTTTGAAAACGCTTAAAAGAGAAGAAGAAGCGACAGCGTGAAGCCTTTACAGCTTCAACTTCGGCTCCGGAGGACGGTAATGCAATCTTTTTTAGCCCAAGAAAGATTCAACAAGCCCGTGATCTTCAAGCCAGGAAGAGGAAGCTGCACGACTTGCTAGAACTGCAAAAGAGGAGGATAAGATACGCCGTCAGCAGGAGAAAGAAGAAAGAAACGCTTGATTGAAGAACGAAAGGAATCAAGGCTTTATAAGAGTAGACGGATGCAGGAAGCGGAGGAAAAGAAACACGGAAAGAGAGGAAAAGGCAGCAAAGGAAGCTGCTATACAGCTTCAAAATGAAATTAATCTGCAACCAGGACAAGAAGAATATCAAGAAGCCTTCTACTGCAGAAGAAATTGAAGATATTAGTAAGAAAAGCAAGGAAGAGGTGGAAGAGGCACATGTTATGGTAAGTCGTCGAGGAAGGCAAATACGGCTTCCGCAGCGATTTCGTGACACCTAAAAATAGCTATATAGCTTCTTTATATCAAGTATTCTATCCCACCAAAAAATCTAATCATTTTATCATTTCTTTGTGGCTGTATAGCTTTATTTCTACTTGGTGGTTGAACCAGAAAAGTGGGCGGGTACGGTAATCCTTCTCCATTGTTCTGCGCGTAGAACAGAGTGGGCTGAACTGCTTGAGGTAGGTCTGCTTTCCAAGCGCCTGTGATGTTTTTCGCAGATAAAGCCTTTTCCCAAGCTGGATAGAATATGGCAAAGAAGTCCCGCTTGCTAATAGCGCTTAGGCCTTGAGATTGATGCAAAAATTCCTCCAAACGACTGCTGGTCCCAACATCAAGCGGCTGTAGAGAATGCGTAGAATGAGGAGGATAAGTAGCCAGTAGAATCCTATTAGCATCACAGTAGTTAAGAAACTACATAGTGACATGAGATCCATGGCCATCAAGGACTAAAAGCCTGTATGCCCGCCCGGCTTTAGCCTTTGTCCTTTTATCAAAAATATCCCGAAGCCATGCAAATCCTAGCTCATCGTTGGTCCAGCCAGAAGGAGAAGAGGTAATACAGTATAAGCGTCATGCATTGCTGGATTAAAGTCTTGCAGCCAGGTATCTTGTACTTTGCCAGATACTGCTTGATATATTAAACCTGGTGGTAGAGCAGTTCCGTCGGCGCAGACACAGGCAATTGTAGTTATCCACTCTTTATTACCATCTTGCAAGCGGTGCCTGAAGCCTTCTTTCTCATATACTTGCTTTGAAAAGATTCTTTTGCCTTTAGAGAGTATTCCAATAAGAAATCCCTTCTCATCCATATTGTATATATTCTCCGGCTGTACGTCCCATTTCTCCAGCTTAAGACGTAGATAGTCAAAGTATAAGGCATACTTTGATAAGGAATCAGCTCGTTTGCGTGCAGCATCAATGGCAGTTGTATAGCGAGAAAGAAGGCTATCAGGATGACTCTGTATAAAGCGGCCAGGCCACTGAATTCCTGGCTTTTTCCCAGTAACTCTTTGGCAAAATTCCGAAGCATTTCATGTGTAGGATACAGGCCTCTCTCTGTTAACTATTTATTACTTTATAAGCTCTTAGCCTGCGGTGTTAGTACTGCTGGTTCTCATATTGTGTGTCCTAGAGCCTTGAATGCCGCGGTGATGCCGTGATAATGTTCCTGGGTCAACACCAAACTCTTTCGCAGTTTTTGCATACTAACTGATGCATCTGGGCCCGCTGATTCGATTGCTGCTAACGCTGATTCAAGACGAGTCATATTGAATGAGATATGAAGTGGTGAAGTTGGTGGGTGCAAATTGCGGTGAGGGGCCAAACCCGGCGGCAGCTGGTAATCTACGTTACGTCTATACCAATAGCTGATACATTTTGACGAACATACAAAATCCCAGCTTCCCCCGTCGTACAGATTACCGACTTCTATTTTCTTGGTGGCCATGAGTCGTAAAAGAAGTTCGACGTTATGTATTTTGTTCGCACATCAATTCAAAGCCATTCTAAGCCTACAAGTGCTATTATCCTGCTCAAAATAATCAGACTAAATGACTAGGCGGTTTAGTTACAGAGAAAGTAGATTTTCTCCGCTCTATCCACCATGTCCGGGGTGCAGACTTTCAAAGAATTAATATCCGACATGCATTTAAGCATTATAGGCTTTAGCCCTTCAATCCGGAGGCTATTTACAAACCACTCCGGCCAGACGACGAGGGGCCAGATCTAGTGATCTGCGGCGGAAGAAAGGAATACGAGCTACCAGAATTTGGTAATTGGCCAGATCAGGAAGGGGAACTGGAAAGATGAAGGGGTAATTTATTGATGCATCCCACCTAGAAACTCTACTAGCCACAAGTTCAATCAATTCACCACCAAAAACGTTGACAAAACTAAGCTCGCTTTACTTTAATTTGGGGTGTGAGTAAAGTCTGGTGTAACCCTATCAATTCCCAGGGATAGTTATTAGCTGTCAGAGCCGAGACATATGAGCGATATTCAGCTTCATGGACCCTTGATCAAATTGATTGTCTCTTGACTAATTTACATGAAGGTGCTTTCACCCTTATAGGAGGTCGATTACTAGTTATGCCGCCTAGGCCTATTTGGTAAGCGGTAACATTGACATTAGTTAGCTACATCGTTAACATAGACTTGGTGGCAACAGAACCATCTTACTGTAACTACTCGACTATTTCACCTTTGACCTCTCCAGGATAGATGAAAGATTTTCTATCTCTTTAAGCCATACGTCTGCATCGAACTTTCGGCCACCACCGGAGCTCGGATTCTGTGACCCGGAACCGCCCTTGTTGACGGACCGGAACCTGGAAGCGCCTGCTTGCACTGCTTTATCCTGGCTGGAATACTCCGCCTTAGGCGCCATAGTAGCTTTTTCGTTTAAAACATCAGCCAGCTGCCTCTTGACTTCCTCGAGCTCCGACTGGATTCTGTCGTGCTCTTCTATATTACAGGTATGTTGGTTTTGCACAACCTGAAGTGGAGGGCTTCTTTGTGCTAGTCGAATTATTGGATGGTTCAGTAAGGACCGCGCATCAGGACGCCGAGCCGGGTTACGCCTTAAGCAGTCGCCAATTAGTGTCCTCAGTGTCTCAGAGTAAATCTTTGGCAATGGTTTGGGTCTTCCATCAAGTATTTCACGAACTAGCAACGCGCCTGCCTGGGCGTTAAAGGGAACGTCTTGCTGGCACAGTTCGTACATGGTACAGCCAAGTGCCCAGATGTCTGCTGGGAACCCATAGCTCTCTCTAGCACAGATTTCAGGGGACATATAGTAAGGTGTGCCAACATAAGACGTTGCAAAAGAATTGCGTATTTTTTTTGATGCCCCAAAGTCACCTAGCTTTACACTTCCGTCGTCTCCCAAAAAAATGTTCTCTGGTTTCAAATCCCGGTGGATGATCCCACATTCATAATGACAGTAATCCAAGGCTGTGATCAGTTGTAAAAAGATGTACCAAATATCAGTTTCGTTAAACCAACCTCGGCGTTCTCTCATGTCATTAATGCGAGTCTGTAGATCACCGTTGCTGCAATATTCCATGTAGATATATACCGTGGTGCTATCTTCAAAAAAACCATAGAATCCCACAATATTGGGATGCCGGAGTGATCCACAGATTTCTATCTCAGATTCAAGATGGTGAAGCATTTCCGGGCTATAGTTTGTCCGACTAATTTCTTTCCGGCAAAGGATCTTTTCGTTTAGCTACCCAGGTTAGCGACTTTGCACAGTTCTGTAGGATTTCGTGCGTACATGTCTATTTAATCGTTGCCTGACTATATAGACAGCTCCGTAAGTGCCACTCCCTATTTACGGACTGTTAGCAGAGATTGGCTCATACATATGGCAGTAATGTATATACCGACTAACTTGAGCCTTTCAAAGTTTCTCGGATGTAGATAATGGGAAGTTTCGGCCATGGCAGAATGAATCAAGCCTCCGAGCGGGCCCCAGATCATAATGACTGTGGACGACAATAACAGAGCTATTTTAATCTATACATTAAAAGCCACAATGGTGCAACAGTGGGCGATTATGAGAAACATGCGTCTGCATGGCAATTCAGGCTTCCGTGGCCCTCTTATTTATCAGTTCTTCAATTAGTACTCTGTCCGTCACATAGCTTGCTATAGAAATCTTTTCGCAACAGCAGTACTGTAAGACTACACCATACTGTACTCAGATGTGCACAGAGGAAGTATGGAATCTTCTTTGCCACTGTGTGAACCTCCGTTGCGGGAAACTACTGACACTCCCCTCTTTCCGTGGGGTATTTTGAAACATGAGTTGAAATAAGAGCATACTATATATAGTCATGCTGACTCTTAACACCGGAGCGTTAAAAAGCCATGCTAGCCGACGTTACAGTAGCTACTGCGCAGTTAAAGGTTTCGAATTATAATGGCACAGTGCAGACAGACTATTTCAACAGAAGATATTGAAAAAATACTTTCTACCAAATTAAACAATATATGCGTATACGAGCGGCTAATCACCGGGAGTACAACGCACTCAGGGCGATGGCAAGAAGCAGCCAACGAGTGGTTTCTCGAGACCATAGATGACCCGCGGGTTAAAGCGATGGTGTTTTTGCAGGACCACCTCTATATGCTAGTCTGGAGAGACAGAAAAGAGATTCTAAAGATATTATTCAAATCAGGCAAGGGAGATAACGTTCAGGTACGACTAGGGAACTATATTATGAAGAATTTTGACCAAAATTTATCCCTCGATCGCTGCATGAACAGTCTGTGTTGTCCTTGCCATATATTGCTGGTTAATTCTCTAAAAATCTTAGAGGACAAATCCAATGGATGGATAACATTAGAGGAGATCCGCCAAATACTGGAGCCTGCTGTAGGAATTCGGCCTAAATTGTGACTGAAGACAAGGATGGTTTAGGATACACTGTATGCACTTGATAGCAAATAGAAGATATCTGTACTGCTACTGTAGTTTACATAGCTCTTCTGTTGTTACTGTTGTTTAATTGTGAGCAAAACTCACACTTTAGAATTCATCTACATTAGAAAGGAATAGCAGTCCGCTCAAACAAGACACCTGAGTCAGAAAAGCTTGTGGGCAAGACGACATTCCGAGCACCCCTAATTTAAATAGTAGAGCTAAAATTATCACACTCCACTAGCAACTCCATAAATATATATATATATATCCAATGCAAAAATTTCCTATTTTTAGGGTTGGGTGCTAGCTAGTACCGTACGTAGCAGTAGTGAGCGCTATTAACATATAATAGAACTACTACTAGAAACACAGGGAACGTACGAAGGTCGGCTAGGGTTAGATCTAGGAGAGAGGTCCCATACCCGACTCTGTTGTACCGGGGGGGAGGACTTGGACAAGGAGGAAAGAGACTTGGATAAGAAGGAAATATACTGGGTCTTGTTTTAGCGAAATCATTCCGAAATCTGGGAAAGCAGGAAAACCAGAATGATGGGACAAAAAATCCAGTTGAAAATCAGGATAACAGGACAGAAAAACCACCAATACTGTACAAACCATATCACGCGGATGAATCAAAGCCCTCTAAAATCTCTGTCTTTGGCATCAATCCCGAAAGTCCCACCAGTGGACAACTAACAGGCAGTCCAAAATGGTTACACTACATAGTATGGATACTAATACTACGTACTTTGCATTGTTCATTTGGGCTAGGGGTGGCGCCAAGAGAATATCCAAATAGGGTTCTGTGGAGTCGGAAAGCCCCAGGAGCTCTTAGGAGCGACGGGCATGACTCAGTGGATGCAGAGTCTGATAGAGCCTCAGTGTGAGATGTGTCCATCACATGCAACCTGTTATTCGGAATTGGAGGTGAGCTGCGACAACGGGTTCGTTCAGCAACCACATCCCTACAGTTTGTGGGGCCTGATCCCGCACCCACCCCGATGCAAGGCTAGCAGTGGAAGGGCCCTCCAAGTCAGCATACTTGCTCGGCAAATAGTCGACACATTGCGGGAGGAAACAATGCGGCAGATATGTGGGCGTGACCCAACACCTCACGGTGATGTCAGCTATCTGGAGAGTGACGTAAAGGCGGGAGCAGAATACAGTGGAAGAGGCAGAATACAATTCTCTCTGGGGAGATGCAGTCCTGGAAGCTGTATCTCAGCGAGAGCTAGTCCACAGTGGCCAGGGACCGTCATCTACGCTTTCCCTGGTCTCAGCGCCTTCTACGCGACAACATCTCTGGTGTATGCTACGTCGCTTCTTTAGCTCTGAGTTTACCAAATACTCAGGGCATTTCCTGATGATCTATCTAATCAACCAAATTCATAGCCTCAAGAAGGTTGCTGGGGAGTTACACTTAAAGAAATCAGCTCGCTTACTTAAACACGATTAATTCTCTCACTTCCTTATTTGTTCCTACTCTTTTTTCTTGTTATATTGTCTGTTTAGAATTTGAGACCAGCACTAGTGTGTACCCCAGTAGACTTAAGAGTATAAAAGCCAATTTCATCTTTATGTAACCGATGCAGTATTTTACGTAGAAAAATGGAAGAGCAGGCGATAGAGTTGACCGGGCTTTAAAACTGTGACGTCAGGTATGCCATTCCTTACATGGAATTTACAGCAGCTCCAATGAAGGCTCGACTAGCTCAGTCATAGTAGAGATATCAGGACAGTTATGTATTACCCTTTTGTCATTGTATGTGAGCCCTTTACTTTCTTTTTTACTTGTCTTTTTCCTTAAATATGTGACGGCCGAACAACTTGATGAAATTGGTGCTATCTTAACATGAATTTTGGGCATGGGGAAAGGAATGTTGTTTTGGGCGATGCGGAGAAGTAAATAAGTACAAACAATGCAAACAAACAGTCTCACGATATCCGTCACAAAATAGAGTGTAAGTTTTCCTTTCCTAACCAGACAGCTTACTTTGGCAGAAACCGGAAAATCCCAGGCAAATAACTATACTGTACTGTAATATATTTATCAAGTCGCCAATTAAGAATATGCCAGATGATCTGGGCAATCTGTGTGAAATAGAAGTCATACACTGAGGTACCTTGCTCTCCTTCCTCACGGCTGTGATACCAGCCCCTTGCATAGTCCCAGCCTTCTGGACTTGGCCTTTATTTAATGCCTTGCCGGCGAGATATTGGAAACCCAGCGCTTTCTTGCAGAAAATCTTGTTTAATATATTGTAGAGTAGCTTGCTCTAACAGTAGCTCCACATCCCGTGAGAGTTGAGCTGTATCGTTGGGATCAAAGCGCAAGCCGATGAATTGGGCAAATAGCCGGCGCTGTTTGTCGATTGGTGCCCCCCTCCATGACTCTGTAGGGAGCGGATACTGGATACTGTCAGGCTCATAAAACAAGGCTAGATCATCCAATATCTCATGGGTGAGAAGGTGCAGTCCGAGCAGATTGCGCGGGAAATCTGGATGGGCTCTGCCTGTGCTGTAATGCACCAGAGGACAGAGGTAGGAGGAGGAGAGGTAACTAAGCACCTGTATAAGGCTGAATCCCATAGCTGCTGAAGATATCTAGCTATCTATTTAGAGGGAACTGTGTTTCGGCTTAGTTTTAAATCCTTTGTCAATCTAAAATTAAACTTATGCTAGAGCCGACATTCTATTTTTGTGGCTTTTACTTCTATCGCTTTCCCATTTTGATTTTCCATTCTATATTTGGAAGTTCCCAGAAAATCACAGCCCTTGGGCTCCACTAGTTGTGATATTGGCACATCCATGAAGTAAGTGTGTAGGAACTGTATGTATTATAGAGATTTAAGTCAATATAGTTCAGATAATAGCAACTTCCATTGGACGGATGGAATATCGTCGTATTTTTTTGCTTACTTTATTCTATGAATAGGCCAGTGGAAGGATGGACCATGGCACTGTTCTATTTACGGCCATACTCGGCTCAGCGCTCAGGAAATAAGATATGCTAAAATATTCAAAGTTAAAGGGTATAGCCCAGGCTGTACTGTATCTAGTCCAAGACACCATAGTTGTAATCACCCCATCAATTCACTTCTCAGCCAGACGCCATGGGATATTTGTCTCACTACCGAGCTGTATCTGACCCTAGAAGCCATCACCAGGTCAAGACTCAGAACCGATCAAAGACGAAAGATCTGAACTCCACTTATTGTATGCCACTATATGCCGGGCCATGGGTCGAGTTTACGCACATTCTCCATGACTCTGAAGCAGACACCTACGAGTGGATGGGAAAGATCTTGGTAGCGCTCTCAACCCTAAAATCTGCTTCAGGGGGAACTTCTCCAGTCCTAATCAGGTCGTCCCGCAGATTATTAGATGAGGGTTACAGGCGACAGATCTGCAGCGAGGTCGACTACATGTCCAGGATGGATAGATGGGATTCTGATGACACACTTGGGTTCTGGGGATGCAAAGTGCGAGTAAAAATGCACCCTAAGTATATAACGGAATTCCAATACGTGATCCGATGCGGAGGGGTGGATATCGGTAGCAGGTTTCAGATCGCTCCGGCCCCTCATCATGGTATAGGGAAATGGTGTATCATCAGTGCAACACATCCGCCACTGGGATGCGACTCTTGGTGGTCCAGGTATGCATTCTTGCAGATTCAAATCAGCAGCTACAACCAGCTTCGTCAATATGGTGAGAATCCGCTAGCTCACATCCCGTATCTATCACAGGACTGGTACAGCACCAGGGGGAGGACATTCGAACCACCAGTAGAAAACAATTCTGAGATAAGCTGTGGAACGTGGATATAGGATGGTAGCTGATTTGATATATAATAAAAATCACAACAATTGATCCATAGAGTACACAATCCAAGTTCTGAGGCTCATGATTAAATATAAATCCTAGAGCTTGCAGCACATGTACAAGTCTAGAGCAACATAAGCAAATGACTAATCACACTATACCATCAGGCCCATACCATTCATATACTCCCATATCCCTATGTTTCGTATCCTCTATAACTTTTAGTACCGATGCTCTGTTTCATGTACTACTATGGATAGATTTCTGGTCCTTAGGAAATCCCCAGCCAGAGTCATCAACACATACTACCTTCAACAAAAAATACGTTCGTGTAGGATGCAAAAGGCCGCTCCCGCCAGCTGTTACAGTACAGCCCGCTAAGGACAAGTAATCATAGGCCACTCACCATAAGAACAGCAGAGTAAATACTGCACTTCATTGGACCATTACATTATCAGGGCCACTATAGAACCGCCACTAATCATAGCCTTGATGACGATGACAATGTAAAGGGGCGAAATGCCTTGCTACCTAATGACTAGATATACACAAAGAAGAATCGCTGAGAGGAAGAAGGTAAAGGGGAAGAGACGTGCGTTCTCATATGTCAAATATGTTGGTGGTAATAGTGACGTAAACAAGGTCATAAAAGAGGGGTAAAACAAACTCCCCTACACCTAGCAGAAGAAGCAACCTAATAATCCATAATAATAATCACAAGAATGATCATATGTTGATCAATATAATCAAGAAACCATCTAAAACAATCATTTTAAGCACCTTTTCAAGAATAGTGTCTACTTTCCTATTCGGTATTAGCCTAATATCGAACATCATACTACGATGGGTCATGTGACTGCAATAAGCGGACCAATCATATGCGCCGATTGCAGAAGGCGAAGGCGAGCAATATATACAGGCGTAGCCTGTGACAGACAACAATTTATCACGCCAAACTTGATGTCGGCCAGCTGAATACGCGTATGAGCTAGTATCACTGATCTATGAATAAGGATCCATCTATATTGAAAGGTAAGGTCTCTGACTATCCGAATCTATCTGGGAGAACTGAATAAAAATGGTCAACAAAGGAACAAAGTCGGACCGAGAGGATGCTGAATAATCAGTAATATAGACCCATTTTGGTCGACACGAGAGAGCTTTGGTCGAATCAATCCACTTTTTTTTGTGTTTTATTTTTATTTTTTATTTTTTCTGAGATTGCCGGATCCACTCACTCGCTTCATAAAAAACTATGCTTCACAGCAGTCTTGATGAATCAGTCACCAGTTTCTGGATATATCTGAGATTTGGCCCCCCACTTTCCCGAAGAGCACCACCAAGTGAATCCACGAAACTTCTGAGAAAGGCACTGACAATTCATTTTTTTGACGCAATTCCGAGCTAATCTGACTATTCTGGCGCAACGTGTATATGTAGGCAACACAATACATACAACAGATATAGTACACCATGCAATATGCAGCGATCAGGGTCCGTATATTAATTGTGTCCTGGCTTATCAAGAAGTCCCTACATACACTCTATGCTTGATCAGTCGGCATGTAATAAAGAGACCGGGGACTTACACTCCGCAGCATAGCAAGATGATTATGATGCTTGCACTAAGGATAACTCTTGGGAGCCAGTCTCGAAACAGGCACAGAGTAAGGCTAAATGCGTGAATATCCTTGGCAGACACGTCCGTCGTGGCCATACCTCCAGATGGGTTCCCATTTCCCTCATTCCGAGGTGAACATGTGTCTAGTTGAGCCTTAGACTCTTCCCAGCTTCTGTTTATACTAGGGCAAAATATAACGCCTTCGCAATTACAGACCTGTTTAGTGTCAGAAGGCAAGTTAAACTACCCAGCAAAGCGAGCATATGTCAATCCAGCTAAACAAGGTGAAGAGAGACCCCACCAAGACCACGTCTGATGTGTATGTACTAACGTCTTTAAACAAGAGCAGAATAAATTAAGTAAGCAAAGTATGATAAGTGGTTTATTAGAATACACCCTCACCCTCTCCACGAATAGCCAGCTGTAGACTTATTCTACTGACCGGCACGGTGTTGGTTTGCAATGTCGGCTTCTGACGCTTATTGTTTGCTCTATCTGCTATGTCTGGTCAAAGGGGAACGATGGAGTGTGGTATGTAGTATATAAGAATACTGTATCTACTCCATTGCTCACCACGATCCTCTTCCTTTCCTCTTCCTTTCCTCTCCATGCTTTAGTATTCTTGTTGCAGGCACTGAATAGAGTTAATTTGGTTTAATTTCCATCACTGTTTTCTACGTCATTATAAATAATAAAGATAAGATTACTGTAGCTTATTTAGAAACCTGGAATGTCGATATTGGATCAAGCTGGCTTCGGTTACAATCAGACCAAATACACAAGATACACTAAGACCTGTATATAGATACCCATTGAGGCGACCTTCGGTAAATGCAAGCAAAAAAACAGATTCCTATTTACGTATTTCTAGGCGAGGGCCAGTTCGAGTATGTAGTAACTATCGACGACTACTTCCGGTGGCGAGCCGGCCCATCGGCAGAGGCGAACCTAAAGAAGATCCAGGAAGAAGATATCCCCCGGATTCAAGCATGGGCCCGGCGAACGGGCTCCTCCTTTGCTGCGGAAATGACAGAGCTGATCCACCTAACCCGGAACAAGAAAGAACATGGTGTAGGACAGATTATTATAAATGGCAAGGTTATCAAACCCGCCGATACAGCGAAGCTCCTGGGAGTTATCTTTGACAAGGAGATGCGATGGAAAGACCATGTACAACAGGCAGTTAAACGAGCAACTAAGGTTAATATAGCATTGGGAGGACTAAGACATCTCCGGCCGAACAAATGCGACAAGTCTACCAAGCATGGTGACACCAGTAGTAGATACGCATCTACAGTCTGGCACAAACCACTCAGGGACAAAATGCACCTGCGGCTTCTGGGAACAGTCCAAAGAACCGCTCTTATCCGGGTGCTCTCAGCCTTCAGGACAACCTCAAGCGCTAGAGGTGGAATCTATACACTACCCGAGACCGCTAGCACCCTGGCGAACCCCGGCCTTTATCGAAATCGATATCGTGCACGACTGAGAGAAAGCCAAGGCCAAGGCCTTAGCTAAGCAAATGACGAGTAGTATTGCTGTTTTCTCGGACGCTTCAGGGCAACATAACCAACTAGGAGCGGCCGCAGTAGCCCTAGACAGAGTCTCCAGATCATAGGATGCGACAGTTTGCATCGGCTCAATGGAGTCTGGTCGGTATATGCCGCCGAGCTTATGGCAATATATTATGCAATCGGCTTGGTTTCAACTGGCTCAAAAGACCAACACACCCTAAGCCAATCGGGAACCGGCAACAATCTTAGTGATAGCATGTCTGCATTACAGGTGATAGCAAACGCATAGAACAAGTCTGGCCAGCAAATCATCAAGGCTATGCATCAGTCTGCTGAAGAGCTGAAAGCACGTGGAATCCCTCTACGGCTCCAGTGGGTTCCAGGACATTGTGACAACCCCGGAGATGATGCAGCAGACCACCTGGCAAAGGAAGCAGTTGGTCCAGATAAAAGGCATCCTTTTCAACGCCTCTTGTCACGCGAAAAAGCGCGTATCCGAGACAGCTCAAACCATACTCGCCGGCTCTATGGCTCGCTCCCCCGGAATCGAGCCTATTTGCTTACGCAACTCCGAACAAGCCACTCATGGCTTGCGAGGCATGGTATGCGACATGGCTTCCGAGATGACAGTGTGAATGTGGTGCACCGGAAACTGTGGTCCATGTACTGATTGATTGCCCGCGGCTGAGCGGGCTGCGACAAGAACTACGAGGAAAGATTGGAAGAGCATTTAATAATATTTCAGATATGCTGGGAGGAGCAGGGCAAGGTAGGGAGGGTAGGTTAAAAGATGCCACGCAAGGCAGTAGCGTCTTAAATGCGGTGCTGGATTTTGCAGAGGCGTCTCAGAGATTTTGAAGTCGCGCGCCACAAGGGCCGCAGAACAGAACACCAGGCATCGGCCAACACAGGCCTTAACGAGGCTCCAAGTTCGTCGGGAAGTAATAGTTTGCTGTAAATAGATGCACATATAGAGTAGTGATAGGGGTACCCTGCATATCGCCTTAGGCGAGGGGTCGGGGTATGAATCATCATCATCATCATTATCTACTGTAGTAACTTCTACGTGGAATACATTATCGTAAACTCATACTATGGCATTCGTTCAAACAAGTGTATCATAGTTCTAAAAGTAGAAATAGAGATATATATATAGAACAAAGAGAGCCAAAAATAGAAAAAATAAATAAAAGGAGCTAAATGCATGCCATATTTATAAAATCTGTGTCTCCCTGAGCTTTATTTTATTTTATTTTTTTTTAGCAATTACGCATCCTAATGAAATACAATTACGAGTCTACACGATACTCCCCCTACCCAGTGGTACCGCAACTATATCATCCTACCTCCGATACACGTAGGCATCCAAGCAATGGGGTCCCCACGTCCAACCAGGCTGTTCAGGTTGGTAGTAGAGCCCTTGACAGGCTGACGCGTTTGGAGACACGAGTGACACAACTAGAGAGCTCAGAGACATCCGAGCAACCAAGCTCTAACCTTAAAACAATTGAGGCACTTACGAAGGAAAACAATCAGCTCAAGCTAGAGATCAAGGAGTTGCTCTGTTCATTGTAAGACCAACATGCTATCGGCATCGGCAGGATGGCTGATAATAAGAAGAATGCAAGAAATTCAGAAGCTGAATTCGATTGCGGACACCAACAATGAGCTTAATCTCTTCGACTTGCCAAGCATCGAACCATAACAAGCGTCCCGAAAGTATACTGTATCTTCCAAGCTGCAATTGTCTACAGCACTCTATCACAGTCCAATCTAGGACAGGATATCTTTATATAACATGAATCTATTCCCACGAACTAGGTAGTTCTTCAACGAGAATATTGAACATGGAGAGGTGAGGAAGAAGCGATGGATCTGAATGGGAAACCAGCAGATCACAGAGTGACAAGGCCGTCAGGCACCCCAGGGCCCTTCTACGTGCCATTATATTTCTAGGCTGGGTTCTTCTACTATCGTGGGGGGACATTCTCCCCAAGAAAGTTTTGTTGGAATAAGAAATCAAGTTCTGAATAAAGTTGTATGTCCAAAAAATATATAGATATGCTCTCGGTATGGATTCCTATTAACTCCAATTAATTATAACGTGTATGCCCGTAGCTAGGCGACTGTGGGTTGAGTACGCAGCCTTACAGGAACACGTAGCTGTTACCCCTCTTTCCCCAGCCTGATAATCAGTGCTTTGCATTCTCCTGCCCACAATAAAATTATTTTCACGTTTGAAAAGTCATTATCGGGATACCTGGACTTGACTTGTTTTATCATGTTGCTTGTTTTGGCCCACCATGACCTCTTTAACGAATGATGACTACGCAATTGCGTGGATATGCGCCTTGCCGCGGCAGCGAGGGTCATGCTGGATAGAATCCATAATCCCTTACCTAAACCGCCCACTGATCCGAACGCATATGTGCTTGGTGAATTGAACGGCCATTATATTGTCGTTGCTTGCCTACCAACATGTATATATGGAACAATATCTGCTGCAATTGTCGTCATCTTCGACAGTCCCACCTTGGAGCCTATTCAGATATATACTAATACTATACATCTGCCAACCCGAATACCGTCAACATCAACGACTCCGAACTGGGGGCCGGCCAGAAGTGAGTAATCATAACATGGAATTATACATAACATATGTTAACCCTAAGCTAGTGCCTTCAGGCGCTGGGTTCTGGGGAAAGGCTGGAGAAGGGTCAAGTACCTCCACGAGCCTGGGTTTGTTTTAGTACATATTGATCTTATACATTACATATACTGAGCCTATGCAGATGTGGGTAATAAGTATGCAGATACCTATGAGCAATTACTTCAGTGCAGCAGCGTCTGCATATGCATCAGCTGTAACTAATGCTTCCTTCCGTGCGGCATTCAGAGATGGCTTCCACCGATGATCCCGTAAGTATTAATCTACCATATTTCCGGCACATGCTAACTAGCAGTAGATCACGCTCACTTCCCTATCTGGTCGTCGCAAGAGAAATATAGTACAAGGGGAAGCGAAAAGAATCCAGGTGGTGCGGGTCGAACCGCATAGTTTCCCGTGGTTGCCGAGCCCGCCTAACCCACGAAAATCAGAAAGGGGTTATGACAACCATCCGACGACTGTTTACTCGACTCGTACTCGAGACCGAAGCTGCTTGCTTTCCGGTGGATGTGGTATCGCCTAAACAGGACAGGACACCTCTGAGCTTGAAACTCTCTGAGATTGCGCGACGCCCAACAGTTGAGAACATAATTTGAATTGGCGTTAAGCGGCGAGGGAGGATACAACCGTTGAGCAGTGGATAGTACGAGTCTGGGGGAGGACAGAGCTATTCTGGTTACAAGTCCCCGTTAAGGCTCTGCTACGGGCAGCCTTGATCAGTAGCTGACAGTCTATTCCGCCAGGGGCGTCAATTAGGACGAGCCTCGACGAACTCGTTAAGGCACAGCTACGGGTGCTCGAGAGGTCTGCGAAACTGGGGGACACAAGTTTGGTTAGTGGAGGATGGTCTGGGTATTCCGCAGGGTAGATGGGGTTACTGCCAGGCTGCCTCTGAAAGACACGGTCGGCTGGCAGAGAGAGATCTCGGCTCGTAACGCGAAGTGGGGATTATTTCCCTGTGGGGCGTGGCACAACCTAATGGCAGTGACCGACTAGCCATAAGGACTTGACGGGACCGTCTATGTGGCCCGAGAGGGCAGAAGCGCGTGTCGGTATGCAAACAGACGGAATCAGCTACTGTACCTCACTCGCACTGAGGACCTGAAGTTTAACAGCCAAAGTGGTGTCGTTCTAGTGGGGAGGTTCTACCATTCTTCACTATCTCACTCGCACTGAGAACCTGCGGCTGGGCGATGGATGTGATGTCGTTCTAGCTGAGATGCCGATGATGCATGCTTAAGGAGCAAACCTGGAAACACCTGGGGTGAGAGGTTTTGCCGGGGGCCTTAATATCTGGAGGTCGCTCGTCGAGAGTTGAGTGAACCGAAAACCAGTGCAGTGGCCTGAACAAGCGGGCCTGGTGAAGCCGCCGTACACAGTTGCAAGGACTCGTTAAGGCTTAGACCACGGGCAGCCTTAGCTGTGTAGTTTTGTCTCTTGGCCCATAACCGTGCACGCACCACCACCCTTCCGGGTGTTGGTGCTCCTGGCTCAACGGTCCTTTGTTCTTAACTTTTCTACTCTACAAGAGCACCACCATAGCAGAGTCAAATCAAGAAGTCGAAAAGCACCTTACTGGGGCCTACAATTCTATCAAAGGCCAAAAATGCCAAATTTCGCGTGTTTAGCCTGTGATTTTGACGTGCCAATATGTCGTCTACGGGCTCGCTTTAATAGCCGTCAATCTCGTTCGGCTCGCCATCAGTCAGCTAAATGACTTAGCAAGACATAAAAGCTTGCAGTTATTCAGTGGATCCGGCGGCTTGATTTTATATTTATTTTACCCAACACGAGTATGATTATAGACTGTGCAAACCAGATTTTAAAGCAAAACCCGACCGACGCGGAGTCAACGCGGGTAGGTAAAAACTGGGTGTACAACTTTATTACTGTTCTTTAACACGAGCTCCAAACAGGTATTAGCTTTAAAAAGCAATATAAATATCTAAAATAAATCAGCAGCTCTCGTTTACCGGTGAGTTAGAATCTTGTCACGTAAAAAACGCAAAATTAAGGATAGGACAGCTCGAGAAAGACATACTCAGGCCCGTTGAGAGAAGAGACAAGCTGATAAACTGGCCAACCAACAACTTAAAAATAAGGACGAGCTTGTAAAAAAAGATTAGGTGAAATTTCACCTCCAGATAATCCTGATGATCCACTTTTTGGCACGATGCGGTCGGGGATCCTGTAAAATAGACCAAATACTTCAAATAAGTACGGCGGACGGATAGTTATGGCCAAATGATCAAAACTAAATTTCTCTTGACCCTCTACCGCCTGCTTTACCACTTACTATTCTAATTCTTCCTCATCACATACATAGTCACATACATAGTCACATACATAATTCACATATAGATGTCGCACATCACATTGTATATTATACCGCAACAATTTACTACCGTATAATCCTTAGTCTATGGTCAAGACTACTTAGACTACTTTTCTTTATGAACAACATGGAACTAGTGTTTCTGAGTGTACAGTCCGGCGACGTCTCAAAGACTGGCAGATTACCAAATATCGACCACGTACGACAAGAGACCAAGAGTCTGGGCTTTTTCAGCAAATTCTTCAGCTCTTTTATGAGCAGGCTCTAAGTGATAAGGAGATTCTTAGAGTCTTAAAGTCTGAGGATACCGATATCGGTGAGAGAACATTAAGGAGAATCCGTACCGAGCTTGGATTAGTACGCCGGACAGATGACCCTGTAGCTCAGCAACTCCAGGAGAATGAGTTCATCCAAATATTCCATCAAGAAATAGGGCAGACTATGATTAAGGGCTATGGAAGGGAGTTACTTCTTCAGCATCTTCGTACAAGGGGTTACACTATTGCTCGGTGTGTTTAAATGCCTTTATCCAGGAGATTTGTACTAATTACTCCTTTTTTTTCAGTAACCGGCTTTGGGCTATATACCGTACGCTTGCACCTGAAGACCTGGATCGCCGTGCTAATGACCTCCAATGCCGCCGTGGTGCTTATATTGTTCCTGGTCCAGATTGGCTATGGTCTACAGATGGCTATCTAAAGCTGGAGCCGTACGGGATTGAGATATATGCTGCAATAGATGCCTACTCTCAATATATTATCTGGATATATATTAGTATTTCAGCTCGTATAGCAGTTAGCGTCCTCAAGCAGTATCTTAATACTCTTGAGGAGAGGCAAATTATGCCACGGAAGCTCCGTACAGACCTTGGAGGAGAAACAGTTATCTTTCGGGATGCCCATTATCAACTCCGCCAGGTATACGAGCCTGATCTACCTCTAGAGGACTGCTATATTTATGGGCGGAGTACTGAGAATCAGCGAATTGAATCACGGTAGGGACAGCTTACCAAGGCACAACCCTTTAAATGGCGGGTAAGTTGACCTTTATTTTGTCTGCGTACAGAGAGTAATTAAAGTAGGAGTTCTTCAAACAGCTTTTAGATGAGGCTGTCTTTTCCAAGGAATCTGTACCAGATTCTATTGCCTTGTACACAGTTTACATGCCTAAGATTCGGCAGGAGGTCTTGACTTTTAGACATAACTGGAATATCCATAGAATTTGGAAACAGCCTGCACGGCATTGGGTTGTATATGGGAAGCCATATATGAATTACTACCATCCTCCTGATGGTGTAGAAAAGTATGGAATAGGCCCTTGTACAGAGACATTTAAGCAGCTAAAACAAGATGTTGAGGAGTTTGGTATGCCGTATTTCTTATACTACTATTTATTAACTATACTAATAGATGGCTAGATCTTGACGAATATCTTCCCTCTGAGACTCTCCAGTGGTGTCGTATGTTGGGGATGGGGTTTGACCCTGAAAAGCCACCACCAATTCCTCCAGCTGAGAGTATGACTCCTTTTTGTACGATTTATTTGTTATTTCGGGAGAGAGTGCATCTACATATGCAGTCTTATTACCAACCACATCTTCGGCTATCCACCTATAGGAGCTTTAATTAGGAGCCATCATCCTAAAGGTGGCGTCCGGTAGTATACTGTCGCTTTAGTCCAGTTTACAATTATTTGTTCCCACGGTTACTACATACTGATATTGAACATTCTTCTCTCCTTAAGAATTCTATCTTCTTCTTTATTCTTTTCTTCAATTCCTCCGTACGAAGTGTACAATGGCAGTAGCCTGAACTCCCTTTTGTTCAAAGGCACCACAGCCTCATACTGGAGAGTATTGCAGGACTCGTGGTGCAGTTAAGCCTATTGATCTTACTGATTCTCCCCCTTTTACCTCTTCTGCTCTATCTTTCTCCACAGCCCAAGCTGCTCCAAGATTTAAATCCTATGGCCGTATACAAGGAGATAAGGATCCCCGACAACTTGCAATTGTACAGACACGAAAACATCTGGAGCCAAAGGATTTTAAAGCCACTGTTAGCTTTTATCTGGAGTGATTGAGAATCCTCCTGAACCAAGACAGCGTACGAGCCGGCAGCATCTACGTAAGTTATCTTAAAGTTTAGGCTTAGAAAGAAACTTTTAAAGAACAATTAAAGCTAGGCTGCCCAATCGATGGATAAGATACATCCAGGAGTTTATTAAAGAGGATTTACTTCCTGGGATGCATTCTTCTTCCCGATATTTTTACGATCCCAATGATGACTTACACCTAGCCACCGGGCTTCAAAATAAGCATGCAATCTACTTGACAAAAGTGCAGATTGGGCCAGACATTGGGCAATTACTGCAGGTTGGTTCCAGACTCTAAGCAAGAGTATACTGTGTATGTTGTGATTCTTCGTACGCAGCCTAACTTGCAAGATGAGCCAAGGCCTATAGTGAAAACGGAACCAGTGGAAATGGAATTGGAGGACCCTTTTGAAGATGACCTAGATCTCTTTGTACCAGCGATGTCACCATCTCCTTCTTTATTTTCTCCTTTGCCTGCTGTACAAGCAGACTTAGAGTCTTCTTCCACGCGGCATTCCTCTCTGCAACCTTCTTCCACTGGACGTTCCTCTGTACAACCTTCCAAGCAGTCTTTGTCCCAGCAAAAGCGATCAGCAACATCCCAACCTGAGCGTCCTGGTATTCGTACGCGGAGGAATAATGGTGACTTAGATGAGGAGGACAAGGATCGTATAAGGGAGCACGGTCCTTTGCCGTACAGTCTTTAATTTGGAGATTTGATTAGTTAGCCAGTTAATTTATTCATTGGTTAGTCTTTATATATATAAAGTAAAGTAGAAGAGGTTGCTTAGTCGTATACTATATTTTTATTTATTCACTGGTGAACAGTTTTTGCCTCCTCTTGTTTTTTCTCCCTCTTCATCTTCAACCACCACCACCACTACCACCATGGCGTACAGGAGGATCAGTCAAGTTTGCATAGCTTTATGGAGGACATGCTAACATTTTCTCTGCGCACAAGCAATCTGAACCGTCTCCGCCGTCTCCACGCTTCTCTCCCTCCTGTAATCGATCTAGATCCATCTCCAGCTCCTGTGGAGGAGCAGCTGGATGGGCATTTTGCCCAGCTTCTGGCAGCTACACCCCTGGCCAGAATCCCATCCTCCCTGTGGGAGGACAGATGCTGGCACCGTTCGTACATACTAGTGAAGGAAGGCAGTTGCTGGCATATAATGGTGCACCCGTGGCTTTTATACGCGGCAGTATAATAGCACGGCAAATAAAGCAACACCGGCCTTCCTACATCAATGCCCTGCTTATTCAGTCACGTGGAATGATATTGGCTGAGCCTTGTACGCGTTGCCGCACCTTACAGGGTGGATACCCATTTCCTGAATGTCGCCATGTACCAGGCGCCTTCGGTGGAGCATGCGCCAACTGTAAATGGCCTGACAGAGCCAGTCAGTGCTCCGTACGTGATGGGCTGTGTCACGGTCCTAAACCTAAATTGAATGAAACAAGATCTATTCAGAACATAGGGCGACTCATATTCGAAACAACTAACTTGAGGAGCTATCCGTAGAGGTGTTGCTGGGAGGGAGGTGTAGGATGTGTGATCACGTGATTGAACAGGGCTAAGGCTGGAAATCAGGTGATCTGGGATCTCTTCGTGTCAAATAAGTTGGTGGTAATAGTGACGTAAACAAGGTCATAAAAGAGGGGTAAAACAAACTCCCCTACACCTAGCAGAAGAAGCCACCTAATAATCCATAATAATAATCACAAGAATGATCATATGTTGATCAATATAATCAAGAAACCATCTAAAACAATCATTTTAAGCACCTTTTCAAGAATAGTCCCCTATTCGGTATTAGCCGAATACCGAACAGAAATTTAGTTTTGATCATTTTGGCCATATCCGTCCGCCGTAAAATAAGACCGTTGAGACCCGGAGGGCTGTTGAGACCAGGAGCACCAACACCTGGAAGGGTGGTGGTGTGTGCATGGTTAGCCGCCCTAAGACAGGCGGTGGAACAACAACAGCGACGATTCTCTGTGGCAGCAAATCCGCCTTACAAGAAATCCAAAACGCAGGAAACAAATCAGGCCAACGAATTATCCACGCGATCCTCTATGCAGCGGCAGAGGTTCAAGCCCGGGGTATTGTGCTTCGTCTGCAATGGCTAGCGGGGCACTGTGATAATATGGGGAACGATGCAGCAGATCAGCTAGCCAAAAACGCTGCACACCCAGGCAAAACGCACCCCTTCTCACAAGGAAGAAGGCGTTTATCCGAAGCAAGATCCTCGCTCAGTGGTAGCAAGAATGGACATTTGCCACTAAGGGTAGTCATCTACGAAGAATTGACAACACACTACCAGCCACCTACACTAGAAGACTATATGGGAACCTACCAAGGAACCGCACTTACCTGCTAACGCAGCTACGCACGGGCCACAGTTGGTTGTCCACCTACGCCAAGGCTCATCGATTTCGTGACAACGATCAGTGCGCATGCGGCGCGCAAGAAACGGTCACCCATGTGCTGGTAGACTGCCCTAAATTAAGGAATGCGAAGGGAGTTAAGAAGAGACGTTGGGGGCACGTTTGATTGCATGTCGAGTCTACTGGGAGGCTCAAAAGAAGGTAAGAAAGGTAAACCAGATACCGTCTCGCGTGCCCGGACGGTCAAGGCCGTCTTAGACTTCGCAGAGACGTCACAGCGGTTCCGAAGTCGCGCGCCACGAGGGCAGCCTAACAACGGGAGCGGCAATTAGGCCACGACAGGTCTTGACGAGGCTCTAAGTTCATTTTCAGGAAATAGTGCACTCTACATATACATTCAGGGATATATATAGTTGAGGTAGCCTGCATATCGCTTTGGCGAGAGGTCAGGGTAAATGAAATCCATCCATCCATCCATCCATCCATCCATACTAACCTTACAGCGCGGCCCTAGTGGCACTCCTGAGCCTGAGCCTGAAAGAGGTAATTGTTCTATGTTAGTATTAGCTCGGCATATGATAACAATACTCTGGCCACCAGGGGTCGTCGCAGGGGCAAGGGCAGGTTACCCGCTGTAGAGTCCAACCACGATTGGATAATGTTTACGTAGACTACATGCTAATAATAGACTGTCAATATGGTTGAAGAGTTTTCCTACGAAGAATGGATTAATTGGACTTTAAATTAGGTACTAAGTAGCAGATTATAGGCATATGTAGCGTAAAGTATATTTCTCTTCCCTTTGCTGGGTAAGCTCATGCTCAAGTGCCTTAATCTTTTCAATTATCTCCCTTTCTTCTTTCTCCTGCTCAAGCTTTTTTACTCTCTGGTTTAGGCTTTCCATATGCTCAGTATATGCCCTATTCTCATCTCCGCGGACTCCTCACGCGGATGTCTTTTGGATGCTGGTGCAGGTGGGGTGGCATATTATTACCAACTGAATATACTGAGCTGGCACGTTGCATATGCCTATTATATGCCATAGCAGTAACTAAAATTAAGCGATACTAACTAAGGGTGACCTTGGTTCGAAATATGCCTTGCAGACGCTGTCAAGATTCCAGTGATTAGTCATTAGTCGGACCACAATTCCAATGTCGAACCACACCAAAACAGTAAGCCTGGTATGCTAGGCGCTCCACATCAACTTACGAATTTTGACAAAGCTGGAGAAGAAGTGACTAAGAATTGAATGGCCCCATGAAATGGCCCCACCAATATACAGGCACGAACTCTTCGCAAGTCCTAAAATGGGGGCTTGGTTTTGGTAGAGCTGTACAAAGTACAATTTGAAGGGGAAACTTGTCAGGTTATAATAAGGCCCGGCCTGAACCATGGTTCAGTTACGTGTCAGCACACGGAATCAGGGGGAATGATAGCTAGGCACGGAGCGCATGAGAAACCTTGCTCCGACATTCATCGTGATATTGCAACCTCTAGAGAGCAATTCTAGAGGCATGAATCGAGCCATTCCGCTACCACCCTAAGCCTCCAGGTATCCGACAGCGGTTCCATTGATTCCTACAGCGTACGTATGAGTGTTTCCGACTCAGGTCTGCCCTTAGCCAAATTGTTCCGCGGTACTCCATAGTAAACTCCGATACGTAAAATGTATGTCTGCTGACATGATCACAGCGGCACATGAGTGGGAGCTCAAATAGCCGCGGCTTAAAATTCTCACACTTTTGGTCTCATCCGGTAGTCCGGAGATCTCCGAATTGGAAGTATTTAGGATGAAAATCTGATTTGAAATGCATTTTTTGAAAATCAAAAGCGAGACCTAACAATATTTACATAAAAGGAGGCCCACTTCTTCCGATCGACCAAGGCTGCAGTGGATCTTATGCTTCTAGCTAGAGCTATCTAACACTAGTTTTCGAACATACGCCGTACATGAGAGTTCGCCTTAGCCAGGGGGTTGGAGGCGTGCCTAGAATTGAAGCCTAGCTTTCAGATTTGCCACTGTGGGACACACTCATGATGAGTGCCTCCGCGCAAGAGATGATCGACTGCGAGGTGGGTCACAGGGTCCTAACGCTTGTTATTCGCGAATTGGGGGGTCTACCTGCATATGATATTAATCACCTGATTGAAAATCTGTCACGTAAGATGGGTATATGGAATATGCCCGGGCCGATTATCTCTGGCAGATATTCCTGTGGCCGGATGCTCCTGCTTCGGCTAGTCTATATTATATATCACAGATAATAACTAGCTATTAAACCAAGGAAGTCATTTAATCCCGATATGAGGAGCGAAACATGCGCTATACTATACTCTACACTGCATCCTGTCGACTGCTTCGCGACTTTGATATATGACCATGATCATTTCTATTCACATACGAAGCAAAATCTACCAAAAAGGTTGCCTTAACTGGCAAATCAATCGGCCTTTTTCTATAGCCTACGCTATCGCCTTAGCCTTGGCGGTCTGAACTTAAATCTCCCGTCAAATTCACTAGGCTGTTTCCTTCCGCTTGCCCCGAAGAGTCAAGAATGATTAGGTATGTATTACCATTTTACAGGCCTTCACTTGCTACGTTGATCGTTTGAGCAGGCCCCAGCAATGCTGGCTAGGGATTCGATGGGCTCCCCTAACATTGTTATCCACGTAAGCTGAACTAAACGAGTTCCATGAAAAAGAGACGCTATATCCGCCCATCAGTGCTCTATTTGTCTCAATGCAGGGCGCAGAAGTTAGATAAGAGCTACATCCCCTTGTGCCAGTGGCCTTTCCCCTGTGGGTGCAGCACTAGATACCTCCACCTTGGCTGCTATAATATCCCTAATACGAACCGTGCATCGTTGGACCATTCTAGCCTATCCCAATCTACCAGTTCCGAAGCTATCTAGACGTTAGTCTGGTTCTATATGGAGTCAACCCCCTGTCGAAGATATAAGGCCCTTTCATAAAACAGGAACATCGTCGCCAACCTCTTCTAAATATATTTATGTACTAGTCGGTACCTGTAATCCCTGTCAATAGGTGCTCTTTTTAACAAGAACCGGCCGATGGGGTGAGGGGTAAAGGCATATATAGCTCAGCGCTATGAAGGTATTATGGTCGATCCAGTTGTTTCTGCGAAGCTCTCTTCTCAATGCCATTGCCAATGGATAACGCGTACGTCAACCCGAGGGCAGTGACAGCAGTAACCGGCCAGGGACAAGCAGAGGTTTCGGCTGCAGTGGATAAGCCCACAACACAACGAGCCCCCGAGAGCCCTGACTGCCCTGGAGAGCCCGAGGAAGCATCGTCCCCCCCAGCGAGTGGGCACAACGACCAGAGACCGGTTGTGGACCGCGATTCTGTCCCAGAGGATGCCAGAACCCAGGACGGGGGAGTCCATGTATCGGGTCTCGCAGGATCTGCTGGTTCTGATCCTCTCCGTCCAATACCCTTGAACAATCATTCGTACCAACCTTACATGTACTACCCCTACCCCTACAACCATTTCTATCCCTATACTCAGCAATATTTGTCGGACGAACAACCGCAGCCACCATTCGTCGGCCAGCCAAACATACCCGGGGAAGTTCCGCCAACAGCACCATATCTCCCACACATGACGAATCTAGTGTCCGAAGCAGAACCTGTTTCGTATCAGCTCGGGTTTTATACCAACTCTATGGTCGACTTGATCGTCATTGTAAGTGCGGTTCCTGCTTATTAACCGGCAAAGGCTCAATGACATACAACAGCGTTGGGTAGGAAGAGATATAGAGGAACGCCTACAGTCTCCTACATATAGGGCAATGATCAGTGAAATGTTCCTTAATAGATCACAACGCACTTACAACGGGGCTGGGGGCCCATACTACGATGTTGGCCTGGGGGGATACACCTACTCTCAACACCAGTGATGGAATAGCTATGTAGATCTTTGAGCATACTCTTTCTTTTGGTACCTCGGCTTTCATCAGTCAATACCCTCTGAGCTGTTGCGGTAGTGTTTTTCCAATGTCTCGCCCCCTCACAGGAAGATGCTTGCTTTATTTCTGATTTACGTCTGATGTGGGTGGATATCTAAATATTTTAGAGGTCAGCATACATGTACAGTACTTAAGGTTATAACGCTCTTTAAGCGAAGTTTGTCTGCGCTGCATACTTATTACCAGATTGCGGGTTCGCGAAAGGCGCGGTCGGAGATTTCGCATAATTGGCAGGAATACCAGAGGTCTTGAGCAGGGGGATTGGTTCCGCGGTCGATGGCCATGGCCGTACCAGCTGACGGTGCTCCATAGCCACGGCGTCCGACATGTAGCGAAAATGACCGATTCACACTAAGCCCCTCTACATAAGTACGTTTAGAGAACTAGTCCATTAGACTTAAATGCGAATTCCCGGCCAGAGATGAAATAAAAAAAAAAAAAAAGATTCCAAACTATGAAGGGGCTTACTTTTCGTTAAATCAATCTGTATCTGCATCCAGTACAAATATATCTGAGAATGTTGGACATTGTGGATTGCGATCCACGAAATATTGGAAATCAGCGTGACATATACCTTGCACCACACAGCTCAGCTGCTCACATAACACATGTGTGAAAACACGAGAGAATTAGGAATATGTTTGCAACACCACCTATCGCTCGCCGCCGAGGATCTCTTTGTGCCGAGACTAGTCTAGCCCTTTAGAGTTACGTTACCTTTCCCAAATTGAGCTTATTCCGTTCAACAGACTGATGTAACAATGAGCAGCAAGAGTGGCAGGACTTCCGTCAGTGCTGTGGCTTTGCAAGTCGTAGTCATCTAAATTAGTTTGGTGCTGGCGTCTTTCTCCCGGACGGGGGGAAGACGGGTCGATGATACCGATCAGTAGTTCCCTCATCATATTGCCAATGAAAATTCGAAGCCAAAGTTTAGTCGCCTCCGCCGACTCCTTTCTCTAATAATATAGTGGACAATAAACAGGCCTAGTGCATTGGGTTCTGGGGGCACCCGTTCAGGGTCTACGACCGCTATGAGAATGTTTTCTATTTTCTCCTGTACGCATGACAAGCTTGCTGATACACTGCATTCCTTAACCATGATCTCGCAAGATACGTGCTGTCTATACATGAAAACCATATATGCCACTTAGCCGTTCTCCTGATGCTAAGATGCTCTACATACTGGATTAGTCATAGCCTAGGTTCAATACCAATTCTCCGCAACTACCTGACTCACGTTGGTGGGGCTTAGATATAATTAATTTGCCCAAAGAATAACCGACGCTTACCATATTATACGAGAATATCAGGAATTTTGCATGGGTATGACCTCTACACCCAGACTCATCTCTACACGTGTCTCCGATACAATCTCTTTCACCCTGCCTCCTAGATAGTTATCCAGGCTGAGGACATACTGGTTAAGGTCATTAGAGCGGTGTTTAGCAACCTCTAAACTACGAGGGAAACGACTGGTAAACAGTTTTTGTGTAAGCAGGTAGTTGTTGGCCTTCCATCTATCTATCAAAAGGTTACTTTCAGCTTATTGCCTAGATTTATGGAGATGGTAATGCTTATGTACTCCGTGTCCGACGGAGTTCTCGGCGCTCACCATCGCAGCTGTTTAATTTGCCATACCCTGACGTAGTCAACCTAGTAATGAGAATTTTATAGCAAAGAATATTTTGCATTTTCCGCTTCTTCTTCCTTTTTAGGGAACCAGACGGGCTATCTGCTGGTTCACATCGGCCGCGCTATTAGTTTAACTTTCCCCAGAAGGAAATAGAGTGGAACCAGGGCGCAGCTCACCTACTTAGTTGGGTATTAGTACGCCCCTGACCCAGACTGCCGGGACTATGGTAGCATCAAGGCAGATTATCTTACTGAGAGAACAGTCGGGAGCATTATGTACCGTCCGCTAGCCGCCTCATACCAATCAAAAGCCCCACTATATGGAGTACGTGGTTGCTAAGCACAGCGGACAATTTCCGGGGATGAAATAATGGATCCGCCACCCAACAACATTTTCTTTGCTCCCCATCCATATCCACCTCAACACCCTGGCTAGTGGGTGGGGTTGCTTGCAAGAATAGAAAGAACAAAGAAAAAGAGAAAGAGAAAGAAAAACAAAAAGAAAAACGTTGAGTCCGCAAACCACACTGTAGCCAGCTGGGTAGCAGAAGAATCACATTACCTCCATTGGACTGATAAAACTATATCAAGTAGTTTTCCTGTCAAGGCCTCCGTGCCAGATTACTCATATTCTTATTCACTAGAAGAGGGTTGAGGTTGCCTTATGATTTGTGAGTTCTGGCCTCTTTATGGCTACACTGGGATCCTGATCCAACCGTAACCATGACGTCTATCGGCCCATTGCGAATTATCTCCAAGTCTGTGAACGACCATCGCTTTTTTCATCTTCACAAAGTCAAATATCCTAACCTTCTGTGGGATCTCGTGCCTTTCACATGTGAGGGATAGCATCCCCCAGATCCGGACAAGAGCGAGTATGATAAATGCAATTCGGGGAAATAGCTAATTATGGTGCTGTATACAGTTTAATACAGTACTGGAGGATTCGAAAACAGTCTCCCCAGCGTGGTATGTATTGTATAGGGCTAATCTGCCCATGCTCCCCATAGCATGAGTGTTTGTCGCCCTTAGCTTAATGATAAATTCCGGTATATTATAGCTAATAAAGCCTCAACTTGTACGGAATGAAGGATGAAGTGATTCGGCTTGCAAGTTGCGTGGACTCCGTGGGTAGGCAACTAAGCCAAAGAATCATCGAGGTCGCAGGTCGATGGAAAATTCGCCACGGTAAACGGGTGGCATATTAGTTTATCAAGAGAACTGGACTTGCGCAGCATATTAGAACTAATAGGTACGTATAACTAGAGTTTTATTTTGGTTTATTCTTTTCGTTTTCGTTTTTCCTTGTCGACAATTAGTTAACGTGTGCGGCCACCAAGCTGCACGCCTCTGTATTGCATATAAAATAGCACTTTTTATAAGCCTAATATTTTAACAACAAGTCAAGAGGGCCTAAAATCTATTATATATAATAGTTCAATAACGTAATCGGACACCGAAATCGCAAGGACACCGAGTTAGCAGCCGCTCATCCGCTCGGCGTTCCCCCCCTAATTTAGATACTATTTGAAATTACTTATCTCCAGACAAATGAAACGTAATGTTAAAAAATGAGTGTAGAACTATCTAGTAGGACATTTTAATCGATTATGGCCCTGGATATTGCAATTACTGCATGTGGGGGCCTTCGCTGCCTGGGTGCCTGAGCCTCGGCCTAAATCTCTGCCTCCTTCTCGCTGATTATTTGATATGCTATATTAGCAGTTAGACTGCCTCCATCCTGAATAAACTGTCTGCGCACTTCTTTTTTATTTTCCTGGTAATTATCAGCTGCCTGACGTTGATCAAGTGCATCCTTTAATAAAGCCATTTGCTGCATAGAAATCCCATTGCCTTTTATAGCTTTTTCGAGCAAATTATCAGCAATCGATGGGAAAAAACCTTGGTTTTGAATCTCAAGAAGTTGTTCTTTTTGTCGATTTAACTGATGGAGATTATAAGGTGTTTTCCCCAAGTAAAATGACTGGTTACTGCCTGAAGAAGATGGTGGAGTTGGTGTTTTCAACTTGATTTTTAACTTTGATATCACAGTTGAAGAATTAAGCGGAATAAGGCTAGTATTTGTTTGTTGATGACATTGCTTTTAAGTGAACTGATAAAGATAGATATGTAGAAAATCTACCTTATCAATAGTTTTTATACCACTATTCATCATTTCTTGCACTTTTTGACCATAAAAGCGATTTAAAGGCGCAAAACAGTTAACATCAAGCGGTTGAAGAAGGTGAGATGAATGAGGTGGCATATAAAGTGGAATAATTAAATTTTTCATGCAGTATCGATCAAATTCAGCAGTTGCATCGCTCCCGTGGCCATCTAAAATAAGCAATCGGTATTGACCAACAGTGCGGGACCTTGTATGCTTGTCGAAGAGTTCTTGTAACCATTCTAGTCCCAGATTACTATTAGTCCAGCCATTCTCGCTAAGACATAATCGATAATCTTTAGGTAGAACAGAATACCACTGAGATTGATGTTTTTTTCCAGCAAAAATAATCTGAGGGGGCAAAACCCAACCACTTCCTCCAACAGTTACAGTACAATTGATGTAACCCATTCTCTATTACCTGTGGATTGATTTAGCGTGTTTCTGCGCCACAGACAACTTTAGCAGTTGACGTAATTCCCATTTGAAAGCCAGTTTCATCCATGTTGTAGATATCTTGTTCTAAAATACCATATTTTTGTATAGTATTTTGAACTAATTGAAACCAGCCCTGAGTAACCTGTGGATCTTCACACTTCGCCTGCTGGTAGTCATATCGACGATTATATCTTGACTTAATATAATTGTGGCGTGAAATAAATCGATTAAACCATTTATTACCGACCAGTTCTGAGATAGATGTCTGAGATAAGGACGAACACTTTTGACGTGCAGATATTAAAAGACCAGCAAGATATCGAATTTGGGAGATCACCAGTGGCAGACCACGCTCAGCCATATCAAGAAACCATTTTTTATTGTTTTTTCTTCAAGACTGGATAATTTTCGTCCATTTGCAGTAACTTCCTCACGGGGAGTTATTCCTTGCAGTCGATTATGGAAAGTATGTCGATTTACGTCAAATGCCTTGGCACAGGCAATTTCGACGAGAATTGACCATTATTCCAAGCCCCCACAGCCATTTTTATTCTTTCATTCTTTGAAATAGCACTCATTTTGTTGATATCAATAAAAAATGGCTTCAAATGTTGAGATGTTGTGATTCAGTGGATAGGGGCGGTGACCGGCTGCTAACTCGGTGTCCTTGCGATTTCGGTGTCCGATTACTTTTAGCACATACATAAATAGTAAGTTAGTAAGCCTAGATCCTTGTAGGATTTCCAGTTCATTATATTTCAAAAAATACATTTAAATACAGTGGAATTTAAAATAATCTTGTAAATAATCTTGTATTATAAGTCAAAAAAAATCTTAAAAATTCTAATTAAATTGAATATGTAAGTATTTTGAAATATTCATAACTATATCAAGGAATATTTCTATTTTGATTATAACCCTGTGTTGTTGTTGGTTGTTAAGTCATAAAAAGTGCTATTTATATGCAATACAGAGGCGTGTATCTTAATGGCCGGTTAACAACATACCTCTGTGGCAGGTAGAAGCGGAAAATCCCTGTATCTCAGGGACCTCTCTGTACCAAAGAGATCTCAAACGTGGACGTTGTAGTTGATATTATCGCGATAAAACTGAGTTGTGTACCGAACGGGGGCTAGCCTTGATGGCGGACCCACCCGCGGGGCTACCCGAGCCCCTTCCCACAAACACCCAAGAAACCGCAAATAGCTTCACGGCCGAGGACTTTCAACCCAGGCTGACGGGTATCACACCTCTCATCCCAAACAAAGAACGCGAAGTGGCTAGTGTTTTACGCCCTCGGAAGGCACGGGCCGGGTTACCACCATGGAGGTGTGTGTGCTCATCGAATCTACCAATGCGGAGATACAGGAGGTCAAAACATGACCAGAATGTTCTTCAAGAACAGAATAAGAAGCTCCACGAAGAAATCTCAGCTCTGCGGGCACAAATCGACGCCGTACCACCGGCCACCCCGACCAGATCATGGGCCGCAGTCGTTGAACGGACTTGGGAACGACACGATAAAAGCCACGGTTCGACATGGTCGTACACCGCACCCTGGCAGTGGACTTTGATTTGGAAAACGCAACCGCCCAAGCTATTGAGAAAATCACGGAAGAAAATGACCTAGTTGGAAAGGGTTTCCGGATGGAAGAGGTGGCGTGGCTCTAGAAGAAGGACAGGATGTTAGGAAAGTTTGCATCGCTTGGTATCTGGTTCGATTCTGCGGAAGGGGCCGAATACATCCTAAACAACGGCCTTCTTATCGGCCAGAGATACTTCGGCAGCGTGGAATGCCGTGAGATCAAGAAAAAGAGGTGCTTCCGGTGTCAACGGTTTGGACACCTGGCGTGGCCGTGCAAGGAAACACCGCGGTGCGGACATTGTGCAGGCCAACATGAGCGGCAGCGATGTCCCCCGGGCGTAAGAACCCGATGCCTGGACTGTAGTGGTGAACACCCCACCGGCGATCGTCCGTGCTTGAACCCCGCGACCGTCCAACCCTTCCCATTGTTAGAGACGAACCTACGGGTACTACAGTCGAACATTATGAAATCGGGACCACGGATGGAGGCGCTCATCAATGATCATAAAGCTGGAATTTAGATGTGGTCCTAATCTAGGAACTATCTATCACCACCTATCGAACATACGTCAACCATAGTGCCTGACGGCTATATCGACCGGCTATTAAGGCGGACACAGTGCGGTTTCGTAGTCTGATCTATGTTAATCGGGGAGTCTCGACTTCTTCACACCGGCAGATTCTGTGCGATCACCCAGACATTACCGCCATCAAGATCTCGACAGCGGACTCTCAAATCCTTCTCTTCTCTGTTTACATTCCATGTATTGCACACGCCTGACGAGGCGTCGGCAGAACCGGCGCTGACAGCAATCCAGAACACGATCACAGCCGCCCTGCGGGACGATCGACGGTCCACGAGTGTAGTCCTTTCGGGAGATTTCAACCGCCACTATCCAACCTGGGGTGGCAACCACATCCAACTGCAGCTTGTCGAAGATGCAAGTGAATTAATCACCTTCCAAGCCAATGGCCTACATAGGGAACAGCGACATTTTGGTCTCCAAGCGACCCTGGGAGAAACTCCACTATTGATCAGACTGTAACGAGCCGAGCAGACTTGCTCATCAAGTGCCATCTCTACCACGAAAACTACGCATCGGACCACCGCGCCACGTACTCGGAGTGGAATCTCCAAACTCAGCACGAGCGGATTGGAACAAGATCGGCGAGGAAGTGGTTCCTGAATGCTTTCTTCCCCGAAATGAACATCCGACAACAGTCTGCCAACCTCGACACCTCTAGAACTTCCATGGCAACCTATCACCAAGCTAGAGATTCAACGATCGCTCAATGCCGCAAAGGGTTCCACCGCGCCGGGCGAGGATAACCTCCCGATGCTCGTGTGGAAGCCGCTATAGAGGCATTTGATAAATTTTATTTCCGGGATTTTTATTGCATCTGTAGGGTATCATCCGAGACAATGGCGGAGGGCGAAGATTGTGGTGTTACGGAAACCCGGGGAAGCCGGACTACTCGGTCCCCGGAGCCTAGGGAAGCTTCACGAGGCAGTTGTGGCTAGACGACTTGTCGTATCCGGCAGAAGAGCACAATCTGCTCCGAACACCCAGTTCGGTGGGCGGCCGGGAAGAACCACCGAACAGGCTCTGATGGTGCTCTCATGCGATCGATCGAGCTTGGTATAAATATAAAGTGGTTACCCTCATTTCATTTGACTTGAAAGGAGCCTTAACGGGGTCAACAAAATAAGCCTGGATGCCTCGCTGCGAGCTATAAGGATCCCCCGGGTAGCAAGAAAGTGAATCGCGAGCTTTATGAGCAACCGCCACACGAGTCTAGGGTTTGATGACTTTCGCACAGAGACAACGCCGCTAGCGAATACAGGACTAGCACAAGGATCACCGCTCTCTCCCATTCTATTTGCATTCTTCAACTCCGACCTAGTCGACCAACCCGTCACCTTCCTCGGCGGCGCATCAGCCTTCATTGACGACATTTCCGCTGGCGAGAAGGCTGCTCAGCCGAGGAGAATCTAGCCAAAATACAGTCCGAGAATATCCCCCGCATCGAAACATGGGCACGGCGGGGGGATCTTGCTTTGCAGCCCAAAAAACCAAGCTCATCCATCTCACCAGGAAAAGGGGCGAGCAGCTCCAACGTCAAGTGGTCATGAACGGGAAGACGGTCAAGCAGTCGCCTACAGGTAAGCTACTGGGCGTGGTCTTCGACCAGGGGCTACGGTGGAAGGAACACATCCAGCAGGCCCTCAAACGCGCAACCAAGGTAGCCGTCGCCCTAGGTGGACTACGGCATCTACGTCCAGAACAGATGCGACAGCTCTACCAGGCATGTGTCACGCCGGTGGTGGACTATGCATTGATAGTCTGGCATGACCCACTACGGGACAAAATTCATCTTTGGCACTTGAGCACAGTGCAAAGGACCTCGCTGATTCGCATTTTGTCGGCGTTTAGGACAGTGGCCACCATAACCTTGGAGTAGAAGCACACGTCCTTCCCACACGCCTCCGTCTCCGCCACCGAGCCCAGAACAGTATCGCCAGACTCCACAGTCTACCTCGCGATCACCCCATTTGGAGTACACTATCACGAGCCCAGAAACGTAGGAACAACGTCGGGTCGTACGCTCGGTTCCCACTGGCGGAAGCGTTAAAGTACCATGAACCTGGGAAGATTGAACGAACTGGAGACGATCGACCACGACCGCTACCACCATGGCGAGCCGAACCCTTCACGGAGATTGAGATAGGGTCAAGCCGAGAAACAGCAGGAGAACGGACTGACACTATACAACCTAGGTCCGACGTTGTCGTCTACTCGGATGCCTCTGGTCGACAGGGCCACTTAGGCGCAGCCGTCGTAGCGCTCGACGATAACCTAGAGGTAGTCGAATCCCGACAGGTCCAGGTGGGACCGATGGACAGGTGGTCGGTCCACGTAGTTGAGCTGATACGCATCTTTCACGCTGTCAGCACGGTGTTCAAGATTGCCCACCAACGCTCAAGAACTGTGGAGAATGGACGAACAACAGCGACGATCCTATGTGACAGCAGGTCAACCCTGCAGGCAATTCGAAGCGTGAGAAACAAATCCGGACAACGAATCATCCACGCAGTTCTCCAGGCAGCCGACAAGATGCAAGTGGAAAATCGCGCTCTGCCTTCAATGGGAGCCAGAACATTGTGAAAACCCATGAAACGACGCAGCGGATCAGCTGGCTAAGGAAGCCGCATGCCCAGGCAAAGCCCATCCCTTTCGCCCGCTGCTCACAAGAGAGGCAGCGTTTATCCGAGGCAGCATCTTTGCTCAGTGGGAGCAGGAATGGAAGTCATCCACCAAAGGTGATAGCCTGCGAAAGATTGATAGTACCCTACCGCTACCTACATCAGAAGGCTATATGGAAGCCTGCCCAGGAACTGGGCGTACCTACTGATGCAGTTACGCACGGGCCACCATTGGTTATCCACCTACGGTAAGACTCGTGGCTTCTGTGACGACGATCAGTGCGTGTGCGGCGCGCAAGAAACAGTTGTCCACGTGCTGGTGGACTGTCCAAGATTGATGGAATTGCGAAGGGAATTTGTTGGGGTTGGAGACGTGTTTAACGGTGTGTCGGGTCTGCTGGGAGGCTTAAAAGAGGGTAAGAAAGGTAAACCAGTCACTGTCTCGCGGGCCAGGACGGTCAAGGCCATGCTGGACTTTGCTGAGGCGTCTCAACGGTATCGAAGTCGCGCACCACGAGGGCAGCCTAACAATGGGAGCGGCAATTAGGCCACGGCAGGCTTTGACGAGGCTCTAAGTTCGTTATCAGGAAGTGGAACACTCTACATGTACGTACATGGATGGATATAGTTGTTGCATCCTGCATATCGCTTCGGCGAGGGGTCAGGGTAAATGATTACACATACACACACACACGCCCGCCCCCCTCTAGCTCGTCTGTGTGGCAGGTGACGAATCCAGGCCATCTATAATCTTTTTTCTACAATCCAAAGCAAATACAACGTCCAACACAGAGAATATATGGAATATGGACAAGCATGGTATACTTTATGGTGTGTACAAACTCCCGGGTTCTTGGAAAGGCAGGAAAAAAAGACCCCCAAGCATCATGGTTTTTCAGCAACAATATCCCAGATTGGCTTATTACAACTTCAAAAAATGGATGTACTTCAGATAGTACTGCTTTGGAATGGTTACAGGCCTCCTTTTACCAGAAACTGAGCCAGAAGGTGGCGTGTGGCGTTTACTGCATCTAGATGGCCATAGGAATCATGAAAATGTCGGTCTTCTTTCGAATTGCCATTTGAAACAATGTTTATTTTATTTTATTACCTCATTCTTCTCACCTTCAACTTTTGGATTTGGGGACTTACTTCAATAAAGGCTCATTATCAGAAGGAGATTGAAAATCTATCCCATCTGGATGATGCACTCCCAATCAAGAAGCAAAGATTTGTGCAATGCCACCGAATGGATTCATTTACAACTACTTTATTAAAAAAGTGGTTGGAAAGCCACCGGACGTACACCCTTGGAATCCTTTTAAGGCTTGCAATGCTCCCAGCTCTGGATACAACAACCAGATCAACCAAATCTTAAAACACCAAGTCCCAAGCAACCTAAAATTTATTCACATCATCTCTATACCCCCCCGGGAAGCGACCAACATGTGTATATAATATCAAATTCCTCAGGCAAAAGCAAGAGCTCACAAAAGATCTTCATCATAAAGCTGGCAAGGCAATTGATCAACTACAGACAGAGAAAGCACATCAAGATACTACTATTTACAAGTAGAAGGCAAAAATTGACCGACTACCTAGTCATAAAATTAGAAAAAGGGTATCTACAGATCCAAATACAAAGTTTTCTAATATACAGGCCATTCGGAAGGCGTTAGCGGAGGTGGAGTAGAGACAGAGATATCAAGGCAAGCATGGGGAAATTAAACTGGAAAAAACATCAGATGTAATGTCAAAACAGCCCCTAGACGATCACGTAGTTGAACTCCAGTTAGATATAATATAATTGGTGAAATATGGCTTGAAATGTTGAATTCGGGGTGCGGACAAGGTGTCTCAAAGTGGGCGAGTGGTGTCTCAGAGTTAGGGGTCCGACCTTAGTTGCAGGAAAAAGGTGTTGAAAGTTGAGACTGCCAACAATACGCTAATCCTCTTTCGTAATTATTCCAAGACCATTGTTTTATTACTAACATCAGAAGCTTTCTCTGGTCTGTACAAAGCCAATCGTATCAAGAAGAGGCCCCACAAGGAACCAACGACGACAGCTCTCGCTGTATCAGTGGGACAAAAATGTTTGAACCCCCCAAAACTGCCTTTTTATTCCGCCTACCTAAATAATCAATTCTACCAGTCGAAAGCTCCAAATGAAGCCTTTCAGTATTTCGTATCACCTTCCGCCTCAATAACAACTGCCTTCACACGATTAGGCATTGTTTCACATAGTTTCGCTAAAATAGTATTGCTAATAACATGCCATGCTTCCTTTGCAGTGTTTCTTAAAGCTTCAAAGACCCTTCTGTATCTGCAGCATTTATAAGCTCCGGACAAACCTTATAGATTTCTTGCCTCATTATCGCCCATAGATTCTCAATTGGATCAGGCGAGTATGGTGGCCAACTCATAACCTTAATATTAAGTCCTCAGACACTTCTTGAACAACCCGCGCAGTATGGACTGGGGCATTATCATGCATAAAAGTGTCTCCTGGGCGAACAATCTCTGGTCAAAAGGCTCGATAGAGATCTTCAATAACTCTTCCACTTAGTCCTCCACGAGGCGCATCAGGATCTCCATCCAAAGGCACAGACCTGTACTTCTATTCTCTCCAAAAGCAGCCCAAAACATCTGTTTAACTCCCTTGCCACATGAATGAGTCCGAACATCATGGTATTTAAGTTGATCGCTCGGACGACGAAAGTCCAAAATCTCTCTTCCAATACCTTTTTCAACAGTACATTCATCGCTCCATATAATATGTAGCCAGTCATTGTGGGTAGGCAAGGCGTTGAGCTGCATGATGTGGCTTAATATGGATCTGCATTGAAGAATGAGGTCTCTAAGGTCTCTTGTCTATCTGAAACTATCTGGGAAAGCTGGATAAAAAAAGGTGAAAAACAAAGGAATAAAGTCGGACCGAGCGGATGCTGAATAATGGGTAATATTGGCCCACTTTGGTCGACATAATTAAAGCAATGTACATACTATCAAATACGGTCCTTAGTAGGCTACGTATGTGTAGCTGTTATAGTGTTCTTCTTCCCCCCGTTCCCCTGAATTATAGTAATCGTGTCGAGATCGCTTCACAGACTATTAACCTGCCAGCGCTGTATACGCATTGATGAATGTATTAACAAACCAAGTTGCCGAATTTATAAGTATCGGCTAGAACTGTTTAGGCTGGCCGTTGGGAAGGATTCGGGATCCCGTGGGAGGTCTGGTCCCGTCCCATATTCCCGTAAGGATCCTGGGGGTGGTCCCGAATCCCGTCTCAAGAAAATGGGAAGGGATTCCCATCCCTAAATTATAAAAATACTCTTCCCATTTCCCGTCCCATTTCCTAATTAGGTTTAGTATATTTTTAAAGTAGCAGTTTTTAGTAGTAACTATACAGTATATACAGTAATTATTGATCACGTGATTTAGTATGGGAAGTTCCCATCTAATCCCAAGGGAATTTCCCAAATTCCCATTCCCTTCCCATTAGTAAGTGTGATCCCATTTCTTACCCCAATTCCCATCCAGAAAGAAGGGGGAATCCCAGTGGGAATCTCTTGGCATTCCCTTCCCATTCCCATTCCCATAAAATCTTAGAAAATCGTCCCGTTTTTATGGGACGGGAATCCCATCCCGATTTCCCATGGGAATTTCCCTTCCCAACGGTCAGCCTAGAACTGTTAAACATGATGGCCTCGACTAGTAGACAAAGAGAGGTAAATGTACCTGGAAAAACAAGATACCGTATCTGGCCAATAGAACCCAAGAGAAAGAAAGGCTGCTAAATGTTGTTGTAAAGAGGCACGTTCTGCATCTCAGCATACGCAGTTGGCCGGCGCTTAATTTCCATTATTAAATTTACAGTTTGAAGGCACAAAGGATGACAATTTTCTTGATTGAGAAGATAACTCTTTTTCCCCACCCCAATTCTATAGGTAGACTATGGCTATGGCAGAGCCTCTAAAGTGTCTAAAGAAACAACCGTATTTATATATCGTGAAATAGCAAAGCATGACATATCGCTCCACGCCGTTTCAATGGGTCTTCGCACTGCACACTCAGACCGTTCTTGCTCATAGCATTCCCCTCCCCCACAATATCTATCCGGTACATAGAGAGAACAATGTATACAGTATACAGCAGCGACAGCCTTTCTCGAAATCGGCATACCAACAAGTATGTAAAATCCATATAAATTTCATTTAATATAAATCATTTAAGGGCCGTCGCGTGCGGCACCGCGCATCACCTTTATTTGCGAGGATAAGGATTTGTATTTCCCCCTCTGCATATGAGAGGGACAAAGTCACCCCTTGAACAAAGTCATGTTTTGTTGCTACTGTGACTCTGTCTTGCCGAATGATAGATTCTGGCTCTAAGTCTTTGATCATGTTGTCATTGTAGAAGCAGTACTGTGATTGGAGGCTCTTGTTTTTGTAGGAGAATATCTGGCGGATGCGCCTTTTTTTAATTTCGAGCCACTCGCATCCTCGCAATGGCTCGGACACATCCACTGTCAAGTTAGACCCGATTTTAATCTCGATATAGTCCTCATTTCTTTGGCGAAGAGTGTAGCCCTTTTTTAAGCAATTAAGGAAGAGTTTTCGGATTGGTTGTGCAGTATCCTTATAGTTCATAGAACCCGAATGGAGTACCATATGATTTTGAGCAATTCCACTATGTCCGCCAACGTCTCTAAGGCGAGCGCCAATTAGGACAGGTTCACATTCCAGAACCGATAATTTGTGAAGCCAGTCCTCTTTCTCAAATATCAAAGACCATAGTCTTTGAACCTCTTCTTCACTTGCCCAAGGGGAGACACGAAACGCTGCTTGAGCATTTGCCGCAGCTAGAGGTGGAAGATAGCGGATTATGCGATCAATAAGCTCGCGTGGAAAGTACTTTGTGATCATCTGCTTGAAAGGCCTTGTTTATATCTTGGTAAGATGACAATTTTTCTATGGGACGAGTTTGATGTGCTTGTTAGCATGCAGTATTCGTCGTGCGCTGAAATATGCAGGTTGGTCGAAGAAGGCACTAAGTAAAAGCAAGAAAGCGAAACGCAGAATTACGTGATGCTTACTTTCATTTATTTCGGATTTTTCCTCCTATCATTTGGTTTACGTAGACGAATCTAGGTGTGACATTTCATTGCGACTTACGGTATCAGATCCTCCCTGCCTATGCTCAGGATGGGATTGTTCTGTCTGGTGCTTTTCAAGATTCAACAGACACCTCTGCTTTGAAGACTATATTGGATAGCTGCTTCGGCATTGTGGAAAATGGCCAGAGCCAAAATCTGTAATTGTTACGGATAATGCCTCCTTTGTACCGCATCATGGAGTGGCAAACGGAGAGCTTAAAAGCGCGCAAATTAACACCTGGGATGGCTCCAATTCGATACAACTGGGAAATGAAGTATACAGTCTATTCCGACAGTGATTGTTCTAAGATTGTATGGTCGGATGAGTGCTCTGTTGATTTGGGATCTGGTCCCCACCACAAATGTGTATTAATGAATGCAGGAACAGTAGCCAGTGGTTTGATGGCTGTGCCTCTGCTGTTGAGTTAACAATGGAGAAATCTCGTGTAGCTACTACAGCACAAATCAAAATTATTTTCGGGTCACAACTATCTGTCCTAATCACTGCTCCCGTATGTGAGATGTTTTCCTATTTCTTAATTTGCTCCCTTGTAGTGATTCACATCGGAGACGTGTCTTCTTTGAGCGGAAATCACATATATCCATCGGGTTTAAATTCGGAGAATACATATGAGGGTCATTTCATTACTTTTATACCGGCGTCTTGCAAGCTTTTTGACTTAATGAATGCGAGCATTGCCGTTCACGAAAATAAGACCCTGTTCCCAGACACGTCGATGGCAGTAATTTATTCAATAGAGCAAGATAAGAGCTTGCATTATACAGTAACCATCCTTTTTGACTTCGAAATCTCACTCCAAACGTATAAGATCACCGCCGTTTTTGTCCCAAATAGCTGCGCAGAGTAGGTATCAAGGGACTGTTTTGTAATATCCAACCGTACCGTATTTCCATAGCTTGAACGTAGGCTATGCGAGAAATTCCAACTCCCTATTATTGTACATTAGTATTTACTAGCATTCTCTTATCCCGCACTCGCTTGTGATAAATGTGACCTCATTTACGTACTGTACTAACCGCGCATCCTATAGGAGTAGTCCACTTCCTTGGATAATAGGTACATATCTAGTTAATGTAACCGGTAAGTGAGTGTTCCTGTTTATTATCCATAGTAAATGCGATACACAGATTTCAATCTTATATAAACAAACAAAAGTGGGGGGGTAGGCGGTGCGACAGATATACATACATCTCTAGCAGTAAATGATCATTTGCACCTTCTACCTAATAAATGGCCATCAATGTCTATGGGTCTCACAATTACTGTAGCGAGCGCCACTCCTCCTCGAATTCGCCCTTCTTCGGCCCTGGCTCTGTTGTCAATGTTGATTTTGAGCTTTGCTTGTTGAATATCTCCTGTTGGATCAGGTCAACTTTGACTGACTGGCCTGCAACCTCCGCAGCAGACAATGGGTGAGACCGTTAATATCCTGGCAATATACGTCTGCTCCATGCTTTAATAGTTCTGTTATAGCCTGATGCCCTTTTCTCACTGCCACAAGAAGCGGCGTTGGTCATATTCGTCCCCAGTACTTACCGTTGCCCCGTGTTTTAGCACTACGTGTAGCTCGCCCGTTTCAATTGCTACAAAGTTCGAGTATTTTTTTTATATCTGTCATTGTCGTTAGTGTTAGCGTGATGTTTCAGCAGCAATTCTGTAACTTCTTGGTTTCCCTGGCGAATGAATGACGGCAAAGAGCGGTATGTGACCGACATTTTTTAAAGAGATATCAGCGGAATTGTCTAGTAGGAGCTTCCTTCATCTATTAGCTTGGGCTCCATGCTTCTTAAAATAGTGCGAATCGTGGGGTTTGGCCATTTTTGTCTCTATGGTTGACTTCGCCGTAATCCTCAAAAGCTGCCGCCCTGCCTCTTGGTGACCGTTGTAGGCAGCACAATAGAGCGGCGTTCGCCGTCCTCATCTTCCAGATCAACCCTTGCGCCTTCACCATTGATAGAGGAGTGGTCATTTGGAAGTTTGGGTTACGCTTTTCAAAGTATTTGAGCGCCTCTCTAGCGGTGATACGCTGCGTAGGATTGAACTGAAAGATCTGCTGGAGTAAATCAAGGAACTGCTTGTTTTCATCACTACGTTGGAGAATACACTCGTGTTCAAAGTTAACAGGAGTCTTGAATAATGAAATACGGTTCATGCTATCGCCACTTCCATTGCTACTTCTTCGGGGGCCCTGAAGGTGATTGCTTTTAATATAACTTGACTCAGTACTGAATACACATTTTTCAAGGAATGGCGATGTAGAATACCTAGCTGTTTTACCCTTGGCTGTTGTGAGCAATCCCTGATCTATCGAGCTGCTAAGGATATGTACATCATTACAAGGCTCTTTATAGGGTACCGAAAATCAAATAGTGTTTTACCAGTGAATAGCTCACCTAATGTGAACAACCAATCCAGGGTACTAAGAGGTCCACGTTCTCGTCTAGGCTACAATCCTCTGGATATTTAAACTCTAATATACGAAAAGAATTTGATCCAAGTGTTTTGCAAGATTAGGCATGATACATATGTGACTGATGTGTCCATACCGAATCTCCTTTAGCCCACACGCTAGTGGTACCGGTATAACCGTAAGGCACGTATCCATAGGTTCGTTTTTTCGCTAGTTTTTTTTTTTTTTTTGGTGGGCTAGCTGGTTTATCTAAGCTTTCGTCTTAAATTAGTAACTTAGCATTTTAAAAGTCCCCTAGGAAGCGCTGTGTGACCTTCAGACCCAATGCATTGAGGTGCGAGGAGTAGGAACCGGGCATATACAGTATGATTTTGTAGTACACATTCAAAAATTATAAAACCCAACACTTGATTAGTACGACACGTCTGGCTCCACAATTAGGCATTGGACTTTAATAAGTCCAATACTCGGTACAAAAAAATTTGTCGGCAGGCAGGGCAGTTTTATAAGTCAATGTATAAAAAATTATTGGAAGAAACACAGAAGCCTTTTTGATGTTAAAGATTATCCATTTTTCTGTCCTTTTCTCTCTCCCTTCTTCCCTGGAGGGAAGAGAATAGTAAATGCTTTATCCCCATTTAAATATTCATCTCCTGTAATCTTCACTTTAGCATATAAGAAGCATAGAAACTCCCCAAGGACTCATTCGCATCCTTATTATGTTAGTTTAATGGGATATATATTATAGCAGAATTAATCCTGTAGTGAGTCGCGGCTAGATCAAGGAAATGCCAACCTTATTAAGACTACCTATTCCGAAACCAACATGGGGCATGTTTTGGACACCCGAATTGCAGCTTGGACTCCCCGTTATTAGTCAACACCCTCCAAACTGCTCCGTGGACACCCAAACCCTTGAGCCTGTCCCTGAGACATTGCTTGAGGTGTTGCCTTAATGCTTCGTTTAATACCTTATTTGATGTCTAAAGTGATACCTCGTTCGATGCTTCAAGCAACTGAGTTATTACCCGTCCCTCCACTGTTTCACCACCTGCCTGCTTAGCCACCGCTGCCTTTGCTGCCTCCCCCTCTCGAATAGTTTGGCCATACTGAGCTATACGGACAGCGCGGTCAACTCGCCCCCAATATGATAGCTCTCGCCCTGGGCGTTCCCGTTTTTGACCACCGCGAGGCCGGACAATCGACGGTTCTAGCACTAAAAGACGCTTGTCCAATTGTTCAATTTGACGGCCTGTAATCCACAATTGACAGTGAAAGTGCTCCATCTGAAGCGGCCTGGAGTTCTTAAATACCACTGTATTGTGTGAATACATGGGATTCCCAGTGTTTTGTTGACAACTCCAGTGCAAGAATTAATTGGCAACTTTCTAGGCCCTGGCGGGAGATATTTCTTGTAAACTTGGTGAGCTTTTAGGACTGCATAGTGGGAAATTGTGCAACTCAAGTCCCTATATAATAATCCATTTAGTGACGTAGGCCATTTTACCTTATCCTAATTAACCTGCTGCGTAATCTCTGCATCCCGAAATGTAGCTGTACGTCCCATAGATTGTGCCGCAGTTAAAAGATCTCCAAAAGCACTATCCAGGTCGCTTTTAATACCAACATGAGCGCCTTCATTCCGGGATGTAACTGTAGTCCCACCATGGAAGTAGCAATTAGTATAGCAGCTTAAACAACGCTTTGCAATAATAAGCTGAAGCCTACTCCAAATATTGTATTAGCTCTGGAAATTTGTATACTGTATTTTTTTTTTTTTTTAATAGTTCCCATTTTTCATCCTTTCCTTCCACAGTCCCTGCGTTGATAACCTCCATCCAATTATCCTCAATATCTCTGGTAATTATGCCAATTTCTTCGCTTCTCTCCTTCGGATCCATTTTCACAATAATCCGTGGGATTAGAGCTTGGCTTTTGCAATAATGCTCTTTTTTCATATGCCAGATACAAAGAATAGGAGCTGATTGTAAAGGGCTGGGGCCCATTTGACCTCTCGGGCCAATGTCCCTATTGTCCCTATTGCCCCTATTGTCCCTACTGTCCCTGTTGGCCCTGTTGGCACCTTTGGCCCATCAGCCCTCGATCCATGTCGCGTGACCTTCCACCTTGTTTGTTTACTGCTCATTTTCCTCTTCCTTACTTCCCTTCAACGATTCCTTCTTGTACATAACTATCTTATAGGTTCTATGGGTTCAGCCCTTGACACTGATAAGGGCCTTTTCTTTATCTGTCATAATCACAGAAGGAAGTGGAAGCAGAACTCGATAGCAGGACTGTTAACAGGATAAAATAAAAGAATATATCTCTTCTTTTTTTCATCGCACGTAAAACCTAAGGCAACATAAAAGTCTGCCCTGTTGAAGCCATACCAACAATGTCAAGAAGCGGCCTTCTAAACGGATTTGTTTTATACGTGCAATCCGTATGTAAAATATAGGGATTCAATTGCAAGCGCTCCAGGCAGACCTTGTGTGCTAAAATACTGCAGTTATCCGGCCGCTTTCAGTGTCATATTGCATTATCCAGGGGCCTTTATCTGGAAGAAGTGTAACAAGTGCTTGAATTGGACTTCTTCCTTTTAAGAATTGGGAATATACTATTTGTGGTAAGTTATATTGTTACGGAAACACTATAATCCGCCAGACTTGGCAGTGCGGAAATATCTAACGATCCATTCTACCCCTCAATCCTTTAGATAGTTGAACACCTCAATGAGAGAATATAGGGAACCGCTTAGTAGGCTCAGTTGGTTGAGATACTGCGACTCCTGGTGTTTCCACTGAATGACATTTACTTCCTAGTTAGGCTAGTTGGCCTGTAGCTGATAGAATAGCTCCCTGCGCATCACTTCCCCTGAATTCCACAACGTATATAAATCAGACCGTTGAAGAAGACTTTTCTCATTCTCTTGGCGAAGTATTCGAAGGGTTTCCTTCATTGATTAATCAATGGTATAATTTGTTTCTTTTTCTGGGCCATCTCATTCCTTCTGTATATTGGATGGGTGCTGGGAGGAGAGACTTCATGATTGTGGCATCCATTTCATACTGTAAGTGTCCATTTTGTTTGCTTTGAATAGCTAGTTAGGATACTAAAAGGACAGCTAATCCGTCGAGCTTTGGCTTGTCTGGCACCGTTGTATCGAGATAAACGCTTTCCACGTCTGTCACAGCAAAGATAGGGCGCTTTATCTTTATTTCTTCGCTCAATAACAACTGCATATCCATGTAGTATCCCATGGGATTTAGCAGCAATTTGTGCCTCATAATCAGTATTATATTGTACACCACTCAGGAGAAGGAATAGACTCAGAGGAGTTAAATTTAATGGGGTCTTCGTCAGGCAAATAGTCCGTTTTAATACGGCTGTTGTGGTTAGGATTATCCTTAGATTTAACCTCTCAGATAGTCTATATATTTCCTATTTAGGACATGACTAAGGCACCTGTTTAACTTAAGTAGGAATGCCAAGAATTTTATTTAACGCTAGCCCTAATACGGTATAGTAACAAGTGGAACTAGTTGCTTGTGTATTTAGCAACGGGCGGGGTTCGGCGCCGCCAAAGAATTGCCCGTGTGGGTAGCGGCACGTGATGCGGTTCTTTCCACCCCTGCTTAGCTTGATATCGTTGGCTGAGGGAAATCCTGTTCACCATCCTTCTATCAGTATGAACCCCTCTTCGACAAAACCAAAAATCACCGTCGGGGTCGACATCGGAAGCACCAAGATTGGCGCTGCATTTTTGATTACGGATTCTGACAGTAATCGTCCTCTTCGGCGCACTCTTCTCTTCAGCGGAGCCGATCAATTGAGAAAAGTTAGCGATGAGCTGCCAGCTATCGCCGCGCGCTCAGAACATGGATGGGAGTTTGGGGAACGCGCAAACGTCATCGATAATAGTGTGGTATTTCGGGACGTCAAGCGCAGCATAACCCGCATGTCACCGGACTCTGTAGCGACCCTACAAGCTGGCTTCGATCAGATTTACCAGAGATGGGGCGTGTACGAGAATACCACGGATTTGTACAGGGAGCTCTTTCGATATATCCTGGATACTGTAGAACGGACGGTTTTGGAAGACGAAGAATGCGAGAAGAGACTCGGGGGTTGGACCTTTGCGGATATTGAGAAGGAATGTTTGGTCACATACCCGGTTCAACACAGTAACAGCCTCAGACTATCCTTCGTGGGCGGTGCTCATGGTGCTGGCTTTGGCATGGTAGGGACACTTACAGAACCCTTTGCGGCTGGTCACAGCGTGGTAAATAGCCGCAAGATTACTGAACGCCCTGCAACATTGGTAGTTCTGGACTGTGGTGGATTGAGTTGCGTATGGAATCCGAGTACCTCACTTGACTGCTCGTCAACTATTCTCACATGTCTTTTAGGATGCAGCGGCCCTTCACATTACACAAGACGACAGTGCTGGAAGCGAGCGTATCGTTCAAATCTGCCCCCCAACTGGTAAGATCTGCTGGCTATTCCCCTTCCAGCCGCTCTGTCTCACAATAAGCAGGCATTCTTCAAGGTGGCCAATCAATTAATGATAACGCCGTCAAGTGGTTGAAATCGCAACAGGCTATTTTGAACCTGCCATATAACCCCGATTGGGATTCTGTTTCGCAGGATTTTGAACTCCTCAAAAAAACATTCGCCCGCGGTGATGAAAGCCTCGTCCTAAAGGTGGTTGGGTGTCGAGTTCCGATTCCGATTCCCCCGTA